CAACTAGTGCGTACCGTTTTGCCATTGGGCATCACCATAGTGGATCATAACCCCATTTTCAAGCACTCTGCTACCCTATGGCATTTTCTTTTCCATTTTCATTGATTCATCGTGATTCAATCGGAATCTACTTTCAGAAAACAGTAATCTCCTCTTCCCCTTTCGAGTCCAACAAACAATCCACAAAAAACAACAAACTCAATTCAACGGTTCGATGATCCGCTTCATCTTCTCATACGCTTCACTCACATATTTATCAACAACAACCTTCGTCTCCTCCGTTATCACGCCTCGGAACCCCTTTTCCAGCAACGTCCGCAGTGTCGAAAACATCGGCGACGGCAGAGCCTTCTCCATCACCGACACCTCAATCAGCAGCTGCTTTCAATCCCTCTCCTCATCTCTACCTGGCAATACGCCGGCTCCGTAATATCGCGCAGGCCTTGGAAGATGTCCACCATCTTCTCCAGCGCCGCCGCGACCAGTTTCCCGATCGCCTGCTTCGCGTCGATCCCCACATACAGCGTCAAATCCCCGCTCACCAGCGCCAGCCTCGTCAGAAAGTCCGCCACCTCCACACGCATCTACATCCCACCGATCCGCCTCGCTTACCGGCTGCAGCGTGCGATACGCGACCCAATCCACATCGAAACACTCATGCAGCGCGCGCAGCAACCCCTCCAGACTGCGCTGCAGATAGCTCTGCGTGTACTGCTTGATCGTGCTCGTGCAGAGCTTGTACGCCTCGTTCAGCTGCGCGTCCTTTCGAATGAACGCATACTTCGCCAGCGGCTCTTTGATCAGCCGGTCGTTCACGTAGCTCAGCGTGTAAACGCAGTCCAACAGCCGCGATAACTCCACGTGCGACGGATCCACCACCGCCGCTTTCACGCCTTGAATCACTGCCAGCAACGCCTCCGCCAGGTATTTCATCACGATCGGCGACAACGTCTACTCTAAATCGTGGAAACCGTGGAAACCTCCTCGAACTCGGAGAGATGGCGCTGGATTCCGTCGCAGCAGTGCGTGATCTGCGCGCGGAACGAAAGAAGCGTGGGCTCGGAGGAAGCGGCGCCGGAAGCGTGGAGCATTTGCTGGGTAATGACGAAGGGAGAGAGGAGAAGCTGATCGACGGGGACGCCGGAGAGAACGAGATGGATGGAGGCGAAGGAGAGCTTGATGTAGGAGGCGACGACCTCCATTTCGGTGTTGGTGTGCATCTCCACGAAAACGTTCTGCGTGTGAATCATTTCGATGATCCAAAGCGAACCTGCACCGCTTCGAGCGTCTGCTGGAGCGTCGTTTTGTTGGACTTCGCCGCGGAGCGCGCGAGCGCGCCGAACGAAGCTTCGCACTGCGGTTAAGAAGACTAGCCAAGCGAACCATCTGCCGAATATTGAGATGCACGAGGTCGTAGAGCGCGAGCACATCGTCGCTGGAGAAATAGAGCGTGTCCATCGACGCCGTGTTCATTCCCTTCTCCAGCACCCACTTCACCTCCGACTGGAAGCACTTCAGCAGCTCGTGCAGCAGCTCCAGCATCTTGTTGATGCTCTCGTTCACGCTCACCAAATCCTCCACGCGACGCAGCATGCTCTGCACTGCTGAGCCTCCTCCTCCTCTTCCCCTACCACGAACACGTTCTTCGCCTTTCGGATCGCGTCCGCGTGCTGTTTCATCAGTTCCTCCACGTACCCCAGCAGCAGCTTCACCAGCAAAGAGCGCGACGACGCGCTTTTCACCGCCGTTTCGCGGTCCAAATCGATTCCTTCCAGCTCGCACGCGCTTTTCATGACTCCAAACCCAGGCAGCCCACTTTCGAAGACGCTCTCTGCAGCCGGAGATCGCGTTTTTGTAGCCCTGCAGGGAGTTCTGGAGCATGAAAAGCTCGGGAACGTGACTGTAGCCGAGGCCGATCACGATGTTGATGTAGGAGGACTGCTTCTCGGGAGACAGAGAATCGCCGGAGTTGTACAAAATCGACAAGATTTCGTCGATGGCTTTCTGAACGTACTCCATAATGTGGGCTTTAATGAAGTCGATCATGACATTGCTCTCTTCGGAGTGCTGCAGCGTGTTCTGGAAGTTCGTGTATTCTTTTAGAAAGCCGTCCCACTGTTTGTTCTGAAGGTATCGCTCCATGTTGTCGATGGTCGGATACGTGGCGCGGTGCTGCATAAACAGCGGTAGCGAGTTCTGCAATGCATACATTTTCTAGTTTGATTCAATCCAATTCGAGGCATCTACTTCACGGTTTTGCTGCAGAGGAGCAATGAGCTCTTCGGTGAGCTCCTCGGTCTCGTTCACCAGCTGTGTGTGAGCAATTCGCAGAAAGATTTACGCCTTCCAGAACCAAACCACCATCCTTTGTGAAGAATTTATTATCCGAGAGAGTTCCATCCAACTCTTCGATTGTTTTGCGGGCCGTCACGAATTCACCAAAATAGTCCTTTACCAGCGTCTTCAGACGCGCCTCTTCGTCCAGGGTAGTTTCATTCATCATACTATGGAAAATCCAAAAAGAGAAACGAACTGTAGACCTATGCGGAGGCTTTCCAGTCCAGTGTTGTTATGAATTTCCAGTAGGTATTTCATAGGATTGAAGAGTTCGCTCGAGTAGGATAATTCATCCGTCTGAGGATCTACAAGACTACGCGATTATATTCACCAATTCACCAAAATCCTACTCCGTGACTATACCAAGGGGATCGTGATATCCCTTACTAATCTTTAGCAAAGATGCTGATTCCCCCTATCCATGACCCGAATAAACAAAACTTACGTAAATCATTTCATCATCATCGGAATCATTAATTACAACGTCTTCCCACTTTACGGGATCTACAATTCAATCCGAGTTCAAATACAATACCGCCTGCTATAGAACTCTGCATTCTATGTAAATTTCAGTGAGATATCAATTCATAATGTATTGGAATGATTCCCGCGGAATAATATATATATCAAACAAACACACTCATTCCACAACTTCGCTGTTCAAAAACACTTGCTCAAGGATGCTCTTTTCATTGTCTAGCTGGATCTGAGATTGGGAGTGCGACAACGATATTGAATGACGTTCGTCCAGTGACTGTGGAACTTGGCCATTTTCATCTTTTTTCTCAAATTCGACGGAGAGTGGATAGCTGTCTATCTCGTTGAAAAAGCTAATCTGGGACTTCGACCAAGCATCCTACAAATCATCCCTTCCTTCGTTCACTGACAAAGTCAAACACAGATATCGTTGAATTCGACCCGCTTGTGAGTGAATTGCTGTGCTTTCTTCGTTTCACAGGGTTTTCTTTATCAGGAGTACTCTATACTATGATTTAAAAAGCAGGACATGAACTGAATTAGACTTCCGGGCACGTTTTTCTCGAGATGAACACCCTTCTCTTTATATAATAGGTTGGGAAAAGATTTCTTACAAACTATCTTGCGACTGGAGAATCGAATGGTCGGACAATATACCAACTGTTGAACTTTCCTTCGAAGTGATTGTAGACGAGTCAGAAAGATCGGGAATCTCTTGTAATAGTGACATTCTTCCTTAGGTACTTGATTCTATGCACTTTGATCATGTCGATTAGGCGGGATTCTTCGTCCCTTATTGAGTAGTGAATCCTGTTAGAAAAAGAGCTTCCCATTCTTATTCTTTTGTTCTGGAGATAATATAGAGTGTATATACATGCAAAATCCTAAATGAAACCGAATATTTTTTTTTGTTCATATCCAAAACACCCTCATGAATCAAGAAAGAGTCCCTCTTCTCTCGTCAGAGGCACAGTACTCTCCTGTTGTTCAGACTGTAAATAGTTCTGTGGTACTGCCTGAGATGAATGGTTTCCTAGTGTTTTCAACACTCTTATCTGTAGAATCACCGAACCAGAACAACGGTGCAACGACTCGATCTGAGAATCAGACACCCAATCAGGTTTCTTCTAATCATGCCGCAGAATCTACAAACGTAGAAGAGCGCCCTAAGCCGAAGACGGCGATTGAGGGCTATCTGGCCAAATGTGGTGGTTGCCAGGTAGAATTAGGAATGCGTTTGTTTATCTAGTCTTCAATTTTGTTCCCTTACGGATTTAATCGCATTATCTGCTCTGCTTGTAAAAGTGTCAACTATATGACTTCCGATTCGATTCCTCGTGTCACGCGTAAAGGTACGCACTCTCGATGCTTAGTCTACTATTTAGCTCTTATGACCTGCCCGACATGTAATGCTGCCATTGTGATCCTTCTGTCTTGATTTTACCTGTAGCTCTATACAATTGGATGTACACACTTTAAGTGCATCTGTGGATCTGTTTTGCAAATCCCTGTTTTCGTTGTCGTTTTTGGTTATTGGTAGATTCCGGATTACTATATTCCCCATTTCCCTTCAAATCCCTAAGATCTTTGTTTGTTTTACCTATCATCGTGGCATCTTCTGTGGTTTGTCCCAAAGGTGAGCCACCACTGTCAGAAGGTGCTATTGTAAAAAAGATAGTTGGTTTTCTCTTTTCCACTCCCAACGCTATTCGAAATACCAAAACCATTGTACCCAAAACGAGACTTTTACCAAACTTTTTAGTATATTTCTATGTCGACTGAACCTACTTTGGAATGGCCTTCGGCGAAGGTCCGTCAGACGTTTATCGAGTTCTTTGAAGAGAGGGGACATACTTTTGTGAAATCCTCTCCTGTCGTGCCACTGGATGACCCCACCCTGCTTTTTGCTAATGCAGGAATGAACCAGTACAAGCCCATTTTCTTAGGTCAAGTAGGCCGTTTGTTCTCCAACTTAACCCCAGGTGGATCCCAGCAGCCCCTTGGCTAAGCTGAAGAGAGCGTGCAACTCTCAGAAGTGCATCCGTGCTGGTGGAAAGCACAACGATCTTGATGATGTGGGTAAGGACGTGTAGGACTGCTCTGCGTACTTTTTCTCACTCTAGGTATCACCACACCTTCTTCGAGATGCTTGGAAACTGGTCTTTCGGAGACTACTTCAAAGAAGGAGCCATCAACTTCGCCTGGGAACTCCTGACGAAGGTCTACAAGCTGGACCCCTCTCGTCTCTATGCCACCTACTTCGAGGGCTCTGAGGAGGACGGCGTTCCTTGCGATGAGGAAGCCTACGCGATCTGGCGAACGCACCTCCCCGACGACCACATCCTTAAGGGAAACAAGCACGTACACTGCACTTTTCCTTTGTGAGCCTAGGATAACTTCTGGGAAATGGGCGAGGTCGGTCCCTGCGGTCCTTGTGCGTTTCTCTTCCATTTGCTCATTTCTAGGCTCAGAGATCCACTACGACCGAATCGGAGGCCGCAACGCCGCTGATCTCGTCAACAAGGACGACCCCAACGTGCTGGAGATCTGGAACCTGGTGTTCATGCAGTTCTCCCGCGATTCCACGGGCGCTCTGCACCCGCTGCCCGCGAAGCACGTGGATACCGGCATGGGCTTCGAGCGAATCACCTCCATCCTCCAGAACAAGATGAGTAACTACGACACCGATGTGTTCCTTCCGCTCTTCAAGGCTATCCACGCCGTGAGCGGCGTTTCGGAGTACACGGGACTGGTCGCGGGGCAGAACGGCGTGCCGAAAGACTCGCCCGAGGCGCAGAAGGACATGGCTTATCGCGTTGTGGCCGACCACATCCGAACCTTGACGATGGCGATCACGGACGGAGCGGCGCCGAGCAACACCGGCCGCGGCTATGTGCTTCGCCGCATTCTGCGTCGCGGAGTGCGATACGGGCAGCAGATTCTGAAGTGCAAGCCCGGGTTCTTCAGCCAGCTGGTGCCGACCGTGGTGGAGAACATGAAGAGCGCGTTCCCCGAGCTGGAGGAGAAGATGTGCTTCGTGCAGGAAGTGATTCTGGACGAGGAGCTGTCGTTCAATCGCACGCTGGAGAAGGGACTGAAGCGGTTCGCGCAGGAGGCGGAGGCCTGCCAGGCGAGCGGAGCGAAGGTGATCACCGGCGATGTGGCGTTCTTCCTGTACGGCACGCTGGGATTCCCGATCGATCTGACGGAGCTGATGGCGGAGGAGGCGGGTCTGAAGGTGGACATGGAGGGCTTCAACCAGGCCATCGAGCGCGCGCGCATGGAGGCGAAGACGGTGGGGTAGCGAGGCGGAGATGAGGCGTAGAACAAGAAGAACGGCGCCGAGCAGACCACGCTGGTGATGGAGGCCGAGCAGGTGAGCCATCTGCAGAAGAGCGGCGTGCCGGTGACCGACGATCTCCCCAAGTACACGTGGTTCGAGACGCTGGAGTCGGAGGTCGTCGCGTTCTACGGCGCGGACAAGTCCTTCCCCGAGCAGATCGCTCCGGAGAGCGGCGTGGTGGGCGTCGTGCTGAAGCAGACGCCGTTCTACGCGGAGTCGGAAGGCCAAATCGCGGATCGCGGATCGCTGAGCGGAGCGAACGGAAGGTAGGAGTGCGGGAGTCGATCGAGCGAAGCTTCTCCGTGCAGCAGGTGCTTTCCTACGGAGGCTACGTTCTGCACATCGGAGTGGTGGAGCAGGGAACGCTGCGGCTGCACGACGCGGTGACGTGCTCCGTGGACTATGACTACCGTCTGCTCATCGCGCCGAACCACACGCTGACGCACGTGATGAACTGGGCCTTGCGCCGCGTGCTGCAGACGGAGGTGGACCAGAAGGGATCGTTGGTGGACGATCAGAAGCTCCGCTTCGACTTCAACCACACGAAAGCCGTCTCTCCGGCGCAGCTGAGCGAGATCGAGCGACTGGTGAACGAGAAGGTGCACGACGCGCTGAAGGTGTTCACCAAGGTCTGTCCCATCGACGAGGCCCGCAAGATCTGCTCGCTCCGCGCGGTGTTCGGAGAGGCAGGCTGTTTGTTTCACACATGACGTGCAGCACTACCCCAATATGGTCCGCGTGGTCGCCATCGGCGTCCCGGTCGAGGAGCTGCTCGCAGACCCCAGCAATCCGCGCTGGATGGACTACTCCGTTGAGTTCTGCGGCGGAACGCATCTCAGCAATCTCGCCCAGGCCAAGTTCTTCGCGATCGTCGAGGAGGGCTCCATTTCGAAGGGAATCCGCCGCATTGTCGCCATCACCGGAGACAGAGCCAACGAATCCATCGTGCTGGCCAATCAGATCGACGGAATGCTGAGCCATGCGCGGTCGCTGCATGTCGTCGCGCTGGAATCGATGAATTGTAGGGAAAGGAGCTGGAGGCAGCCGTGGCGGAGCTGCAGCAGACGATTCCGACCGCTGTGATCAGCGTAGCGACGAAGGCGACGTTCAAAGAGGAGCTGAAGAAGCTGGAGAAAACGATGATGGCGGAACGAAAGGAGCAGATCGCGAAGCAGTTGGAGTCTGCGATTGCGGAGGCGGAGAAGGTGGTGAAGGAGGTGAAGGAGAAGCAGGAAGGCGGCCGTGTGTTCTACACGGTGGAAGGAATCGACAGCTCGAACGCCTCGAAGCTGATGCAGAAGATTCGCGAGCTGGATTCGGAGAGTTCTTACTTCATTTTCAGTGTGGATACGGCGAAGGTGGCGATGTATGCGCTGGTGGCGAAGGAAAAGGCGAGCAAGACGTTCTCGGCGAAGACGTGGATTAGCGAGGTGGCTGCGGTGTGCGGAGGAAAGGGAGGAGGCTCGCCGATGCAGGCGCAGGGACAGTCGAAGGATCCATCGAATGTGGAAGCCGCGTTTGCGAAGGCGGAGGAGATTCTGAAGGCGAACTTGTAATGGTTCTAGGGTTGGATGTTTGTTTGGAATCCAATGAGAAGAGATTGGAGATGTGAAAAATAATGGAGAGTGACCGAGGTTGGGGAAGAAATAGACGACACTCGAATAATAATACAAGCAAAATAGATGGGGTGAATCAAATAGAATCTTAAAAAAAGTGTTATTAAAGAAACAATGCAACAGGATTCGATCGGTTGTTGAAAACAATAACCAGGTTCCTGGTTCTTTCCTGTAGCATAACCATCGCATCCGCATGGACATCCGCGACACCCAGGTAATTTTGGAGCAGCTGATGGTGGACGCCGTGATTCGCGTGTCCGCAGAGATTCGGTTTGCTTCGGCCAATCCCTTTATTGTAGTGACTATATCTCGAAAGAGCTCTCCAAAATCCAAACGCTCCGTTCGCTTTTGGTCTCTCTCTCTCCTCTAGTGCCCATCCAGCAGACCGACACGCCGTCTCGCGCTGTCTACGCGCCCGCAGCCGACCTTCACTCGGCTTCCGCGCTGGAATCCGGAGGATCCAAGGCGGCTTTCGACTCGCAGAACGGGAGTTTGGTGGTGCAGGTGCAGACGGTGGACGCCTCCATGTGGGATCGGTGTGAGGGAATGAAGGTTAGCTACCGAGATAACATTTGGTCGCAAGCAGTGATTGAGAATATCGGGCTGGAGTACGAACAGAGCCAGAATCCGTCGAAGGGGTTGCAGATCCGAAACCTGTTCGTGGTGATCGACAGCTGCGTGCTGAACCAGCTGGAAAAGAACAGACAGAGACACGTGGAGAAGAATATTCTGGAGATTCCGAAGGTGAAACTGCAGATGACGGAGGAGGTTTCGATGGAGAAGAGGAAAACGGTGCAAATCACGGTGGGAGTGGAGAAGAGGGCTGATGGCTAGCGATATATCACAGACTTCAGGGATAAGATCAAGATCTCGACGAACATTCTGGACTATATGAATCTGATGGACACGTTTAATAAGTGGGAGAGAGGGAGCGAACTGATTGGCAGGATCATGAAAGAGATGAAGGAAAGCAATGAAGGGAACCAGACGATCTCTGCGCTTCTGTCGTCTCTTTCCATCCAGGACAATGGATCCACAAAACCGAAGCAGCCAGTGGCCGAAGAAGCGGATTATTTATATCGTCAAGCTGCTTGAACACACTGATTTGTAGCTGATAGTGAGAACTTCGTGTTTATGCCCAAGATTGACTTTTTGGGCGACATGACTCCGTCGATCAGTCGGAAAACGTTCCCTCCGATGGTAGAGAAGGCGGGCGAGTTTGATGGATAGTTGATGAAGTCGACGAATGATTATCTTGTTGAACTGTTGGCGCAGGTCATATCTACGGTGGATGGGATGCTTTCTGTAGTAGAGAGAAGAGAATAGTGAGATCGTTTTTTGCCACTCTTTTTTGTTTGTTGTCAAAATTCGTTTTTATATGCTGGGTATTATACATAATTCGTGATAATGACATAGAACTCGTGAAAGGAGCAGAATACTTGCTGGATGGCTATGCGACCGGAAATCAGGGAATACTTGAATATGATGGAGAGAGATACGATGTTCAATTCTATCAAGGGAAGCATTCCAATGAATACGTGTTATCTGGGAGAAATGGAAGAAAACTCTTGTTTCAAAATGGAGTTTTAAAGCAGGAATGGACAGAAATAAATGAAAGGCGAATTGGATGGTTTACTGCATATGAACGGGGAGTAGTGAAGTTTCAAGAAGACTGGAAGGATATTTTGAACCAAACGAATATGTACCGGATTGTAAACAGAAGGAATGGTGTAATGATGGAGATATTAAGTATTGAGAATGGTGTTGTTTGCTATCGAGGAGGATTTGATAGTAATTTGAAACGAAACGGGAGAGGAATCGAGTACGATGAAGATACAGGTGATGTGAAGCTGGAAGGTGTGTGGGAGAGAGGTCGATTGAAGGAGATATTGCGTGTATTTGATGGAAATGAAATGACGGAATTGAAAGTAATCGAGAATAATGTGAATTTGAGCAAGCAGATTCCTGTGTATGTTGGAGGTTATCGTTTTGACGAATCTGAATGGGAGTTCAAACGCGATGGAAAGGGATGTTTGATCGATGAAAGGACGAGGATGGCGTTCCATGAGGGAGAATGGGAAGATGGGAAAGAAATCAATGGAATGGATTTGGTGAGTGGATGGTACGATTGCTCAACGAAGCAATTCGTGTCGAATTTAAATGAATGGAAAGAAGTATCTTGTGGCATCTCCGATCTTGTGATCGATTCGGATTGCTGTAATGTGGTGAAAAGCTTAGATTTGAGCGCATTTAAGTGGTTGCGAACACTCGAAATTGGAGATTGTTGCTTTGGTGATGTGAATGAATTCAGATTAGAGGGACTACGAAATCTTGAGAAGGTGAAGATCGGAAAGAATTCCTTTACAAATGTAAAGAGTAGCGATGTGTGGGATAATGAAAGTGCTCGAAAATTGAATCGATGCTTCCATATTGTAAAATGTGAGAAGCTAAAATCGATTTGCATTGGTGAGTTCAGTTTTTGTGATTATGGCGGTGTGTTTGAATTGTCCGATTTGCAGTGCCTCGAATCGCTTCAAATTGGAACAATGAAAGTGAATTCTTCGAATTTCTGCTTTGCTTCGTTTTGTGTAAAAGGTGAGAATTAGGAATCGCATCAATTTCAAGATCTTCCAAAGTTGAATAAAATCATATTGGGTGATCGGTCCTTTATTTATTCTCTATCTACAGAGTTTGTTAGTATGTTCGAGTATAGTGGAATGTTGTGTAGATCTTCCAAATCTCGAGTCAGTTCAATTGGGCTATGCTGCATTGGATGGTGTGAATGCGGATAATTGTTCGCTTTGTCTAAGAGGTTTTTCCTGTGTGCGTTGTAAACACGCTAGATTTACCCAAACTAACTACGTTGGTGTCGACGAAATGGAGCTTTGCTTATCCTAGAAGGATCGCGTTTGTGAGTTGGTTGCTGTGTTTGAGTGTGATTCTAGATGTGGATGCATTGAAAGATGTGAGTCTTCCTAATTCGTTTGAATGTGTTATGATTGCACAAATAGAAAGTGGGTTGAGCCAATGATTTTTGAATTGTAGATGTTCATCCGAACTTGTCGAAGTATGTTCGAAATTGAAGAATCTATAATGATTGATTCTCTAGTTGTGTGGTAAGTGTAGTTCTCATTTTGATCCTGCTTACAAAGTAGTTTAGCCTGAATAGTATGGAACTATTTTATTCTGTAAAGTGCTGTTCAATTCTTGAAGATGTTTGTTATTCATAAACTCTGAAAACGGTCCTAGGGAGTGTGATTCTCATTGGATTGCCTCAGAAGATAAGAAGCAAGGAGATGAATGTTTTGTCATGAGTTCATTTTTTTCGTTTCTATTTGTAAAAACCATTATTAATGAAGATATTGGTATTCATGATATAGATAATGTAATTGGAAAAACCATATTGATTCGATTTGGTAAGTACAATTAATGTTGTGATTCAGAACAATTCGATTGAGATAAAATAGAGATATTTAGGTTGGAATATTGTACAATGTTCTGAAGATTGGAATTGTGATATCAAAAGACAAATAGAAACGACGAATCAGATTGAATTGGATTGGATTGGATTGGATTGGATTGAATACTTTTACGAAAACAAAGCGTAGCAACTAGTAAAATGAGAAACACTCTATTTCCTTCTGAAAGCTGATTTGATTGAAATAACATAATGCTATTTGAATCATGAATCGTATATACTAGAATGAAGATTGATTGCAATAAGTGAATGAAAATGGAATATCCAAAATGATACTATTGTTTCATACAATAGCCTGAAAAGAATGATAATATATAACAATTGATATTACAAACATCAAAGGAACATAATCGTCACCAAATCTCAATCGATTCGAACCTTTCCATTGTGTCACTATCAGATGCAATATTCCTGGTTATTGGTAAATTGGATTTATCATTTGTGAATGGTCAATATGCGATAATCGAGTGAAAGGTGAAAATGGTCAAACAAAGGAAAGGACAACCCATATGTTAGAATATATAGAATCCATTCTTATTGTTAAAACATAAATCATTTTCCAATACAACTATTATATGATAATGATAGAATTATGAATTCTTGTATACGAATTTGTCTGAAACAATCAGTCATCTATTCATATATATTATATATTATATATTATATATTATGAAATGAGTTGAATCAAAATCAGAGAGTTACTCTTTCACTGAGAAATGCTTAGCGAGAATGGAGGAAACACCTATCAACTAAAATCAAATCAACCAATCAATACTTGAAATTGATATTGATTGAACAAATTTTGATGACTTATTTAGCTTGACCATTTGAAGATTAGGAATATCTAAGTACTAACACCATTCAATAAGGAAAACTACTTTCTAAAGTTATCCAACGACAATATTTGAAACTGCCTCCTTTAGAATTGATGGATGTAAGATTAGGCAGATCTAAATTACTCAATCATTTCAATCCATTTCATTCATACTGCACATTCTCAATGAACATGATGAATCATTTTTCGTTCCTCGAAGTGTACTTTGACCGAGTGTAATGGATTGTAATGATGGAAGATCTATTCAATCATTTCATTCGAATTCATTCAATACTTTCGATTATTGTTGATAATGAATCACGGAATGTCCAATAACCTAATGTAATGGATTGTAGATTTGGAAGATCTATGCATCACCCAAATATTCAATATCATATCAATACCTCGAATCACAAATGAACTAGAATAGAAATTGCATGAACCATATTCAAGTATACCAATTTGAATGAATTGTAATTGTGGTAGATTCTTCAATTCAAAGTCTCCAGCAAAATCACTGAAACTGTATCGATCAATTTCTATCGATTCCAATGATTCACAATTCAATATGTGGAATGATTTCGATTTGTTGTTTCCATACCAATATTTATTCTGAGTGAATGAATTGATTCCGATTTTGATAGTTTTCAATCGATTCAATCCATCGATTTTAAATGTTTGTACTGATTCAAAACAATGATTCCCGATTTCGATTGATTCCAAATTATACAACAATGAAACATCCCAATCAACCAATACACAATTGTCACTCAGTTTCAAATGTTTCATTCCGGTATTCAGTGGTTTGCTTCCATCTCCTTCATAATCGATATCACTTTCAATTCCATTATACCATTCACATTCATTCACTAATTTACCATATCGATCATACACTTTGCCAATTCCAAATCGATTATCATCACACCAATATCCTTCATATTCAATACATCCATTATTATGATAACTCGTTCCATATCCAAATCGTTTCCAATTGATCATTATGCCTTTGTACACCAATATTCCATCATCATCATACATTTCACCATATCCAAATGGAATTCCCAACTTGTTTTCTGTCAATACCAAGCCTTCAAATCGACTTCCATGATCCAAATCCACTATTCCTTCCACTACTTCTATGGATTGTTCTTCATTATATGAAATAGCACCAATTTGATGATTTCCAAACACTTTCAACACTTTCTGCTCATTGAGTACAAATCCTTGATTCATGAATACTCCATTATTGAATTGCAATACTACACATTCTCTGTTACTCAAAATGAGTGAAATCCAGCCATTTGGTCTCATTTCTTTACCCAAGCATCCCTGCACATTGTGTATGATGGAACTATCAATATGATAGTTACTAATAACAGAATTGACAAAATCAGCAATGTTTTGCATGGAAATAGGAAGAAATATGGCAAAACCAGGAATCTCAGAACAAGATCTATTTCATTATTTCTTGATAAAACCAATATTATACACCATCATAGTATCACGCTAATTTATTTGGTGTTATACTGTGTAATATTTGATTTAGATCAACAATACTCAACTACCTTACCCATTATGTGAATTTCTTGTTCCTATTGATCTTTCTATTCCTTTCCATACGATCTTCATAGGTTAGACATCAAAAACAAGCCATTATTGTGTTTTCGTCATCCTCTACTCTTTTCTGTTCAAAGTACTGTTCTATTAAGTTCAAAATAGGATTGCTTTTCTCTAGTGATATGAATCATTTTGACGGTGTGTCTCACTGTGGTATTTGGTAATCCTAGAAATCGAATCTTGTTGGGATGGTATGTTTGTAATAGATCAATCCGAATAATTGCTTAGATGATATGTAGAATATGCAATTCATCCTTTCTATTCACATAAATAGTATCTTGGTATAGGTTCTCAGCTACATCATTAAACCATTCTCGATTGCTGCGTTGCTCCATTTCATTTATGCATGCTAAAGCAAAACAAAGGACTCGTACTAAAATGGCTCGAAGCCAAAAAGCTATCGATAGCTAATTATCTCGTTATCTAACAAAAGTGTGGATTTGAGTATGAGGGATTGAAACGGCTAGTGCTAGAATATCGAAGTGAAGGCGTAGGTACTGTATGTGGAGGGAATGTTGGTATACAGTACGTGTAGGAGAGAAGGGAAACACGATTGATTCGATGAAGAATGAAGAAGAGAACGTAACATTCATTGTGAGGGAGTTCCCGATGTGGTTGATACCGATTCAAACGGAGTGGAGATTTGGGAAGGCGGGAATGGAGAATTGCGAGTTGAACATAGAAGAGTGCGAGTGGGTGTTGAGAGAAAGGGGAGATAGGGTATAGGAAAGCGTTGTGGTATAGTATGATAGAGAAGCGTAATTCGGTCGGCTTTTTGTTAGTAAGTTTGAAAATACCGCTTTGTATAGGAAAAGAATGGAATGAGTGTTTGTTTGGAATCTTTTCTTGTTACATGATAGTAGAGCTAGAATCAGTATGATTCTGAGTTGCCATGCTCAAAAAACGGAAAGTGTTCAACTCTTGTATGGAAAATACCGAATCGATGTAGAAGTGTGGCAATACACGTAAATTATCGTTTATATCATGCATAATTACGAACAAAATACGCATGAGAAAAAAGAGTGGTTACAGGTCTATCGAATATATTTTCTCTACGAAGAGGAGTTAATACATATAAAAAAGCGAATTGATTGAAGAAACAAAAGTGTTCAAACACATTCAGTTTCATGATTCTTGATATTCCAAATGGATAGAACAAGAATAGTTCTTTAACGTTAAATAGTATTCGAGCCAAAGTAAGACTGGAACTGGAAGTCATCGTTTTTTGAGGATTATTACCTTTACAGATATGTTCGTAATAACCATCTACACGTATTTGTGTAAATATCTAAAGAAGGTGCGATTATCGTGATCGATTGTTTGTTGGCCTAGACTACTCATACATATTCCAAATGATTCCCCATATTTCATACATTCACAAAATCGACAGATCTTTAGCTTTCCTATTTATTCCAGAATGTTCGATAGAACTCTGGATCTTTTTGGAATCGTTTCGTTCTTTGTCATAATTTATTTATTTGATTGATTTACCTAAGTGGGTGATAGTGATAATGAGCATTATATTCCGTGATCCTTTCTTTGATAACTTTGATGATCTGCTGGTTTCGACCTTCCCTAAGCAGCATGACTTGGATTCTTGGTTCGGTGATGGAATCCGTCGTGATGTGATTACTCCGTTCAGTGGATTTGGCCGAATGGACATGAAGGAGAACGAGAAGGAGTATGAAATGAGTGTGGATCTGCCTGGAATGGACAAGAGTGAAATCAAGATGCATGTGGAAGACAATGGACTTGTGATTGAAGGAGAGAGAAAGAGTGAGAAGAAGGAAGAGAAGGACAAGTGCCATTTCTGTGAGCGCCACTTCGGTTCTTTCCATCGTGAAGTATCTCTTCCGAAGAATGCGAATGTGGATGGAATAAACGCGATGTATGAAAATGGAGTTCTGAAGGTAGTGATTCCCAAAAAGGAAGAAAGCGCCCAGAAGAAACAGATTTGCGTGAACTAAGTGACATGACGTGATGTGATGTGATGTGATATTGATTGATTGTTTGTTTGTAAACTAACTAAAACTAAATGGAATTGTATTATCCTTACCAAACTAGGAATGAGCTGTTAATATTGAATCATCCCCTTTTGCTTTGTAAGAAGGAATTATGTAGTTTGAAAGATACTCTGTCTGTCTGTTGAGACTGAAGACAATCAAATAAAGATCCAATCTCTTTTCAAGAGAATTAACTCAAACAACTACAAATAGAAGTTATTCTGTATCATTATTGACTCCTATGAATCATGTCTACAGAATCACGACATAAGCAACATTTGAATATCCTTTTGATGTGAACAATAATGATTCAGTATGATCGTTTGAGGTATATTGCATAATATTCATTTGTGAGATAATATGAAGATTCGCAATGATCGATGATTTTGACCAAGTATCTTCAAGTTGTGTCAGATTTCTCGATTTTCTAGAATGAGAGCACATTACAGGATGGTACGAATAGTGAAAGATATATTATTCTTTGCCCTTAGTACCAGAAGTCTATAATTATAGCAATAGAGTATTGGAATTTGGATATATTCTAATCTATCTATCTATCTATCTATCACTCTATACATACATACATATTCCTAATATCAGTGACTTTGAGAGAGTAATCGAGATATCAAATCGGACCTAAATGAGTGTCAATCACTTCGATGGTGTCTGATATTGATGTACAATGAACACAGATCATTCTGTTGCTCTAATCTACACAAAAATACAAAACGGACATTCATTCTGCTTGTGATTTATGAATTGTTTGGAATCACAGTCATTGTTTGTTCATATTCTATGCGTGTTCGATACAATCCTTCTTAGATCAAATAATGAGAGAAAGCAAACAAGCAAACAAGCAAATAAATAAATAAATATAAGAGGCAATATTAATAGTGGTGAAACAATCACTAAAGAATCGGAAGAAGCTATAAGTATAGAAGAATGGATCAGCTACAAAAATTCACCTCCATTCGAATCACTTTCAAACAAACATTATAAAAACGTCCAATTCTTTACCCAAATTCAACCTTTTTCATTTCTTTTCATTCCATTTTCACTTTCCGTTCTGCATTCCCGACACAATATCATCAATCCGCAGCAGCATGCATGCCGATTCGATGGCGGTTTTGATGGTCTGGGTCTTGACCTGGAACGTGTCCCACACTCCCAACTCGCGCATATCCGCGATGGTTCCCTTCACTCCGTCCACTCCCAGGAACGTTCCTTCTCCCTCCGCCTTGCAATGCTCCGCCTACGCGTCGTCCGCTCTCCTCTCTCCTACTCGCAGCTTCGTGATCACTCGGATCGTATCCGCTCCGCAGTTCTGGCACAGCGTGCGCGGGATGATTTCCATCGCCTGGCCCACCGCGCTCAGCGGCAGCGCGTCCACGCCGCCCTCGCGCTTCGCCTCCGCCTGCAGTCTGCACGCGATCTCCATCTCTGTCGCACCGCCGCCGGGCAATAACCGCGGGTCCTGCGCCACATTGCGCGCCACCTGCATCGCGTCCTGCAGATTCCGCTCGATTTCGTTGAGCGCGTCGCGCGAGCCGCCGCGCAGCAGCACGGAGCAGGCCTTCGGCGCCTCGCAGTCCTCGATGAACGCGAAGTACTCATCGCCGATCTGACGCACCTCGAAGAGCCCGCAGCGCGTTCCCACGTCGCTCTCCGTCAGTTCGTCGGGACGATGCACGATCGTCGCGCCCGTCGCGCGCGCCAGACGGTTGTTGTCGCTCTTCCGCACGCGCCGCAGCGCCGAGACGTTCGCCTTCTGCAGGTAGTGCTGCGCCAGGTCGGAAATGCCCTTCTCCGTGATCACCAAATCGGGCTTGAGCGACAGAATCGCGTCGCACATCTCCTTCACGGCTTCTTCTTCTTGTTTCAGAGCGCGGTCCCACGCATCCGCTTCGTGGATCTCCAGACTCGCCACCGATTCCGCCTTCACGTATTCCAGCGAGCAGTCCAGCAGAACGATGCGCGGATGCTCGATTTTGCGACGCATCGACGCGTGCGTCACGTCCTTGTTCAGCATCACGCCGCGAATCACGCGGCTCTCGCTCAGCTCCCCGCCGGGAATCTTCTCCACGCGCACGTACCGCTTCAGATCGATCTCGTTCGTCTTCTCGTCCAGAACCGTCAGCACGCTGTCCAGCGCCAGTCCGCTCTAACGCAATCACCGCCATCCACCACAAGCTACGATCAAATCGCCGAACCGACTGCTGAACTTCGTCCCGATCGCGCTGTCCAGAAGTTTCATCATCATCGAACGGTCCTGGATGTCGATGGGGGTCGCGATCTCTTCGCAGATGTGGAGGGCGGATTCCAACGCCTTGTAGTATGCACGAACGATCACGGTGGGATGAATGTTCCCAGAAATAAACGGCTCCGCAGAAACCAGCATCTCACCCGCTACACCCATCGCATACTACCACCAATCATACCCAATATGATCACAGATGTCGTTCCATCGCCGACTTCCTCGTCCTGGGTTCGACTCAACTCAATCATACTCTTTGCAGCAGGATGAGACACATCAACTTCCCGTAGAATGCTGTTGCCATCGTTTGTTAAAAGAATGCCTCCCATGGGATCCAGAAGCATCTTGAGCATGGAACGAGGTCCAAGTGTGGTTCGGATAATATCAGCAACTGCCTAATAATGAGTTTACTTCAATAACGCATCGCCTACCTTGGCAGCTTGAATGTTTCCCAACTGTACCTTTCGTCCACTTTCACGTTTCGTATTCTGATCTAGAAAGTATGTGGAGTAATATTGCAAAAGCTACTTAAAACTAAAACGGGGACTTGCATGAGTAAAACAAATAATGTGGATGAATATAGAAATGTATTAAGTTTGAATTAGTAAATGTATGAGGGTATAATAATGAGGAGAATGAGTGAAAAGGACTTGGAAAGTGGAACTCAGGACATATGTACTTGTTCTATACAAGAATATAAAATAAGAATGATAAGAAAAAGAAGAAGGAGAAGGAGAAGAAGTATTTCTAATGACCCAAGTCAAGAACTATTATTGTCAGAAGACCTTGGTAAATAATCTCTTTGCTTTAAAGGAATACTTTAGTTCTTAAATGATAGTTTGGAGATAGTCATATGATTATAGCTTCTCTTTGAACTTCTCCCCTAAACGGCTATACTACATGTTACGCTACACTCTGGAGCAGCAATCCTTATGAAATACTAAAGAGGTGTTAACAAACTTTGATAGGGATGTTTATATTTCTTTATTAGCGAATGTCGTGCGATTCTTCTGCTACAGGAGGAGCTGAGGGCGTGTTTCAACAAATTCACCAATCAGTTCTGAAGCCTATGTTAGATCAATACTCAACTTGGGATTGTCATCCAGTAGAACAGCCATTGTCATGCAACGTTTATTTACACAACTATAAGTATGAATTATGATGATTCGTGACATGTAGTCTACTATATAAACTGTTTACGGAAAGGAATACAAGCAATGATGTATACCAGGAGGCAATTTATCGACAAACAAAAGAAGTAAGAGATAGTGCTTTTCTGTAAAAGTAGGTAATTAAAGCCTTTTATTATAAATTGGAAAGCGATTTACCTTCACCTAACATTGATCAAAATATAATGGAATTGCTTTGCTGTAAATGGGAAGAAATGAAGTCGATCATAAAAGTGGTAAATCTGATTCTTCTCTATGTTGTAATTGTTAATTGCTTGAGGTTTTATGCAAATAGGAAAAAAACTTTGTGTCTCGAACCGGTCAGAAGCATATGGACTCAGAGATCAAGAAATATTTTGTAAAAACAGTGTATAAATCTCTCTCCCTCCCGGTCCGTAATTCTGTTCGCTTCACTATAAAAAACTACCGAGGTGGAAGACACGATAGCTTTTCTCCGTGTGTTGCCCAGTGTATTCAAATTATTTCGGAGTGCGAAAAGATAAAGCCAACGAGCCCCACTCCTTTTGAGGTATTGCCTTCACGAGTCTTTTCATCAGCATGATCTCATCCTCGATGCGAAGCGATATTACGATAGTGTCCGTCTCTCTTTGTCGTCCATCCACCAGATTCTCTCTTCTCTCGACTCTACCTTCGCTCTCGAAGCCGAAATCAGCACGACATTCGGCGTTTCGTCGATCACCGAAGATCTCCAAAATACCGCGGTAAACAGCCTTCTATCGAATTCCGTAATTCCAAAAATCGTCCCCAAATCTAGTTGGAAGGGATCTTGTCTCGCTATCTGTCGAGCATTTTCCCCGACGATCTGGAGACGTTTTATCGCTTGTTTGTGTATGTGAAACGCGTTAACGGAGGCATTGAAAACTTTTCGGAGCACTTGCAGCGAGAAATTGTGAAATACGGGCGAAAACTCTTTGATCGATATCTTGAGACCTTTCAGAACACACAGAGAAAGAAACAAACGCTTTGGGAGTACATCAAAACGCTTGCTCATTCCATGTATTGTCTTTACGAGGTTTGCTTTGGTTCCACGTTTCTACTTTTTAAGACGATCCAAAAACGGCTTGACGCTTTTCCCGCCTTTTTCCAGGCGCTTTATTCCGCCATCGCCTCCATTTCCGATCTTTCCTTCGCCGCGGACTACTCCGTCCCCGCGGGAATCGCGGAATACCTCGATCACGCCATTCGCGTGGAGAAGTAGGGAACCGTGGAAACGGTGTGAGGGTAGCACGTCGGGTTCCACGTTTTCAGCGCAGCTAACGGAGTTGATTTTTTTGTATTCGAACATCTCGAACAAGGTTCTCCATTCCCGCGGGGAATCGATTGTAGGACGAGTTCATGCACCGCTACGACGTGCTTCTGTCGCGCCGCCTGCTGTGTTCGCGCACGACGAATCGCGAGATCGAGCGAAACATCGTGGCTCGCATTCGCACGAGGTTTTTTTCCTCTTTACAAGGCTCAAACGCAGCACAGGCGTGATGTCGGCGAGTTCGATGGACAGTTTACTCAACGACATGGAGAACACGATGAGCGGGTAGCTCTTTTTTAGGATCGCTTCGTCTCATTCCCAGCGACTTCACGCATAAAGTCAAGCAGCTCTGCGGCGAACTGCCCTTCGACTTCTACCTGAACGTCCTGACGCGTCCGATTTGGCCGCAGCTCCCCGAATCCTGCTTCGAAGAACACGACGAATCCATTCAGTTCCCGCCATCCATGCAGCGAATCATCGATTCTTTTAATTCCATCCCCAAAGACTCCGAGCGATCCTATCACTGGTCCTTCGTTCGCGGGTTCATCACCGCGGAAATCGCGCTCTCGTCGCGGACCATCGAGGTTCAAATGCTACCCGTGCAATTCGCGGTTATTTCCCAATTCCAAGCCGATGAGCGGATTTCCGCGGGACAGCTGCTGGAACGCACGGGAATGAGCGAGAAACTGCTGCTGCAGACGCTGGACTCGCTGACGAATAGTGTTTTTAATGTGGTTTCCGCGGGGAGAGGCGTGATGTGAAGATTCTGAAGAAGGTGGGCGGCGAGGCGGAGACGATGCGGATGAGCGATGAATTCCAGTTTAATGAGGAGTTTGCTCCGACGGTGGATCATATCCGGCTACGAGGAGTGAGATGAGGACGAGGATGATTTGATGGGTAGCTGTATACGGCGCGAGCGTCCGAGCATGTGCCAACGGAGAAGATAAAATATACGGAGTCGTATAAAGCGGCGATTCATCGCATTGTGAAGAAGCGAAAGACGGTTCTGATTGCGAAGGTAGGAATTGAAGGAAAGGCAAAGTGACGCTGTAGCTGAAGGAGGACGTGATGAAGGAAATGGAGCCGTGGAATATGGATGAAACGGTGAGTGATGGAGGGAGATTTTTGATTTGTAGGACTTCGACAAGGCGATGAACTCCCTCTTTGAAAATGACTTTATCCAGCGTTGTAGTGATGATAATAATTCAGTGGAATTAGCTTAATTTGCCTGTTTGTTAAGATTATTCTCGTACAGGGGACTTTAGGGGACATATGTGGGTTCCACGCCCCAATTCTTTTTTCTCAAATTCTAATCAAAAGCCATGTCGAAGCCCGTTTATTTTGATGATTTGTACAAGAAGGCGAAGGGTAGGGGTCGTTGGTAGTCGTTGTGATCTCCAGATATTCTGAACGACGATTATTTCACTGGATCGAAGCTGGTGATGAAGGTGAAGCATCTTCAGGGAGTTGTTGGTTTTTAGGGTGTGGTGAAGTGATTTGTTTAGAACTTGACTGCTGAGGGAAAGAGCAGCGGTGGGAAGCCGGTGGTGAGCAAGATTTCTGGTGATTTCAGTCCTTGCAAGTACTTCACAGTGAAGAAGGTTTCTTTGGACAGTGCGGGTTCGTTGGTGTTCGATGCGGACGTGAATGATTTGGTTCGTAACACGACGTTTACGCTTCGGTGTGTTGTTGTGTGTTGTGTTGATGTTCAGGAGTTCGAAGCGCATGAGCGATAGCGGTATAGAGAAGGGTTTGTTGGGCGTGAAGGTGTGTGGTGAGCGCGGCGCTTTGGATTGCAGCGTGGACGCGTGTTCGGGTCGCGCGAGCTGCAGCGCGGTTGTGAGCGCGGGTGCGCGCGCGCTGGTGGGAGCGAAGGTGCAGAGCGCGGAGACGGGCGTGAGCGTGGAGTGCGGTGGTTCGTTCCGCGGGGAATGGTACGAAATGGCGGGAGTGTGGAGTTCCGCGGGGAAGAAGGGAACTGTGGGCGTGTGGGCGAAGACGGGCGCGTCGACGCGCGTGGGCGCGGTGTGGGAGGTGCGCTCGATGCGCTCGATGCCCCGCGGGGCGGTGGGCGTGGTGTCGAGTCTGAACGATGCGACGGAGATCCGCGGGAAAGTGAGCGAAAGCGGCGTGGTGAGCGGGGCGGTGAAGGCGACGGTGAACAAAAAACTGAGCCTGCTGGCGAGCGCGGAAGTGGACGCAGCCCATCTGGAAGGAGGAAACCACAAGCTGGGACTCGGACTCGAATTCATTTTCTAAGATGTTGTGGTGTGTGTTGCAACAAACAAGCGAACGAACAACCAATCAATGATAGGAGAAATGGGGAAACGGGGTACAGAACGGGGAAACGGGGAAACGGGAGTTAATGGGTGTGACGCTCGCGGAGCTCATCGGAAGACGCAGAATCAGCAACAGAAGACGCAGCGTTGAACGTAGATGTGGAATTGGAAGCATTCGACGGCTGGGAGGCAGATGCCAGCGAATCATCGGGCGATTCGTCGCTCTTCGCGTCTTCGTCGAGTTCGCGCAATTCCCGAATGCTCTGCTGCAGCTTCGACAAAATCGCAGCGCGCTGCTCGTCCATTTCGCGGGAATTGGCGTCCATTTCCTGCCCAATTTCGGCCAGTTTTTCCTGTCTTTTTGCCGCGCGTTTTATCTTCGCCTCCAATTCCTTCAAATTCGCGCCGAATTCCATCGAATTCTCGCCTTTCCCGCTCTTTCTGTCTTCGCCTTCGATCGAATTCTTTTCGCGTTCCTCGTCGATTCCCGCGGTTTTCTCCTGCTCCTGCTGCTCTCGCTCGCCCTCGCGGAGCAACTCGTCGGGAATCGGCTCATCGTCTTCCTCCTGGTTATCGCGGAAGAGCAGCGTGCTAGAGTTGAATAACCGCGGTGAAGGTACAGTAACCGCGGGGTAACGATGAAACGCGTGCGTTTCCACTGGCGGATTTTGGCGATTTTTGGGAGAATGTCGGCGAGGTAGTAGTAGATGTGTCCTGCGATCATGCCCACGATATCGGAATCCATGATGGTGCCGTAGGTGAAATAGTGGAAGAGGAGGAGGGCTACGGGGAAGTAGGAGGCCGACATGCGGATGAAGAGGAATTGGATGTTGATGTGGGGGTTTTTGCGGCACCAGACGTAGATGATCATGGTGTGCAGCGCCATGCCGAGAAAGCCGGAGGAGGGGTAGATGCAGGAGATGGTCTAGGGGGAGTACAAAGTGTGGTAGAAAGCGTACGACGATCCAAATAATGCCTAGGAGAAGCATCCAAGCGTAATCAGCAGACTTTTTGTAGAAGCAAGTTCTCTCCAGACGCATGCTGTAGATGGAACTCATTACGAGCTTCACGATGAAGTTGAAATTCAGCGGACCCATATAGAAAAAGGACGTAAACAGTCGCCACCACTGTAGACTCAAACAATCCGCACACATACGTACTTCTCCCTTATTAAAACACAGGGTTTTGCTAAAGAAAAAGAGTCTTCCGTATTTTGGGTTCACTTTCGTTGAAATGCAAAACCAAACGCATACTGGATTCCAGCGATCCAAGAACTACCGAAATCAACGACGTTAACAAAGTAATTGGCGGAATGTCCCGTACTCTACATAAAACCTCCGCGTTACGCCCCACACTTCCTGTATATCGATATCCATAGCCAATACGCAAGAATGGGAATCGAACAAACAAAATCTGTCAAACACCTCTACTCCTTCTTTTTCATGTCACTAATCATCTTGATCACGTCCAAAGACGACATCGTCTTCTCCCCCTTTCTCTGATAAATCAACATGTACGCATTCTCCGAAACAATCTTGTCCTCCTTCATCTCCTTCACATCCATATCATTATAACTAAACCACTTCGGCTCTCCCTCGTTCTCGTCTCTGCACGACGCCACATAATGTCCACTATCGACATTGCCATCATGATTGCACACCGCTATCAAATCATACAGATAGCTCTCTCCCTCCTTCTTCGCGTCCGGGTGCATATACTCCCCCAGATCCAGCCCATACACCGGGAAGTCCACTTTGACGTCCACCTTGCGCTTCCTGGCATCGAAATTGAACTCGATGCCCTGCAATTGGTCCGTCGTCACGTACTCAAACCGACTCAGATGCAGAATCAGATACTGCGGCGCGCGCCAGATGTACGACACGCTCTGAGCGATCACGTCCTTCTGACATTTCGGGCAGAACCTACATGGAGATCGTGGAAAAGGAGATACCAGGGACAGTTGGCGTCGTTGTTTCCCTTGTTTTTGAAGAGTTCGAAACACTCGGAGAGCGGCACCTCGGTCGATTCGTTGTGCTGGCTCTTCCATTTCCGCGTTTTGCAGTAGTGCATGGAGAGGAAGCGCCAGCGGAACACGTCGCGGATCTCGTCGAAGAGAGCGGCCTCGTCGGGCGTGATTGGAAGGTCCGCATCCACGAGATCCGCGCCGAAGGCTTTCATTTGCTCGCGAAGAAGCGGCGGCATTTTCATGATCTGCGCGTCCACGATCACGCAGAGGGACGGAAGGAACTCCGACGAGCGGAGGAGGTATTTGGCCGGATAGGAATAGTATTCCGGACGGAGGATGTAGTTGAGCTTGGCCTCGTCGACGAGATCCATGCAGGAGGCGCTGGCGAAGGGATCGAAGACGACGGGGAAGCCACACGGCCCGTCGATCCATTGCAAGTAGCTGTCTACAGTGGACTCAAGGATCGACGAGGTACGGCGGCGCTTGCCGAGGTAGGACTCCAGAATGGCGTCGTCCTCGTCCTCGTTTTCGTTTTCGTCCTCGTTTTCGTTTGAATGATGATGATGATGATGATGATTTTCATTTTCATTCTCATTCTCCATTTCGTTTTCGTCTTCGTCTTCGTTTTCGTTTTCCAGCTCGTTGTCGGAATGGTCGAAGGCTTCGTCACTTTCGATCACCATATCGGAGACGTGGGACGCATCGCTCGGCGTGAAATCATCGTCCTCTTCGTCCGACGTCGCGGAATGCGTGGAGTGGAAAAACTCCGTTATCTTCGGCTCCTCCGAATCCTCCTCCGATTCTTCCTTGGACTCTTCTTTCGATTCTTCCTTGGACTCTTCCTTGGATTCTTCCTTGGATTCTTCTTTCGATTCTTCTTTCGATTCTTCCTTCGATTCTTCTTTCGATTCTTCTTTCGATTCTTCTTTCATCTTCTCCGTTTCTTTGGTCTCCGTCTCCTTCGTCTTCGTCTTCGCTTCGTCTTCCTTGCTCTTATAGAACTGCGTGATCTTCTTATCAGGCTCCGTTTCTTCCGGCAATTCCATTTCATCCTCATCTCCACTCTTTTCGTTCTCTTCATCCTCGTCCTTGTCCTCGTTTTCTTCATAATCCACCACGCCCTGCTTCAGCTTCGTTCGCTTCTCCGGATGCACCACGCAGTCCAGAATGATCTCCAGCACTTTCCGCACTTTGTCCTGCTGCTTCGCCTTCATTCGGCACAGCTTCGGGAAGAAAACCTCCGGGATTCGCTTCAGCACCTGCTCGATCGGTTCCTCGGGATCGTAGTAAACAAAACACCCGCCAAAGAGAGCGAGATTCATCGAGGGCCGCCAGCTCTGGAAGTAGTACGTCAAGAAGGACTGGCGAAGATAGAGCGGCTTCAAGTTCCGCTGCGGCTTCTATGGATAAGAAAGCAAATCGAGAGCGACTTTGAGGCAAATGATGTAGGTTTGTGAGTCCTCGAACTGCGAGAGCGAGCTCTGCGGGCTGTTGATGTCGATGGGATGCACGGCCACGTCGATCATCGAGTCGTCCTCGTTCTTCTCCATGAGAATCAGATCGATGTCTTCGACCTCCACCTCCAATTGCTTCGCAGCGAACTCGTACATGTCCCGATTCACTCCATAAAAATTGTAGTTGTACTCCCAGTACCGCAGAATCTTCTCGCGGAACGCGGGCTTCTTCGCGATGGCCTGCTCTTCTTCCGTGAGAGCCTCCTTCGCTCGCTTGCGCTCGCATAATTTGCGGCGCAGCGTCTCGAATTCTTCGTTGTACTGCGACAAATCGCGCGCTTCCAGATAGTTGATCGTCACTTTGAACTGCTCCTTCGGCAGAGGAAGCATCACGGCGTTGTTTGGATCGTAGCGGACGCGACACTCGTGGCATTCGCTGCAGGTGACCTCGCTGCTCGTCATGCCGTAGAACAAATCGACGATTCGACTTGTGTTGCGTTTCTGAAAGATGTCCCACATTTCCGGACCTTGGCTCTTGTCGTAGGACGTGTACACTGGCGTTTCGATGTAGGGCTTCTTCTTGATAAGATTCAAATCTTCGTGGAGAACGTCCACGAGCTTCGCCTACAAATCACACTCACTACTAGATGAGATACGAAGAATTCTTGGCTGTCATGCTGACCTACACCCTCGAACTGATGGTCGTAACCTTGAATGGCCTTCTTAAAATAGGTGGGATTGACATAAGGATAATGACCCATCCATAACTCCTTTAGGAGGGCAGAAAAAGTCTCTGTGACGAGACCTCCACTTCCCATCACGTTATCTCTGTTGAGCTATCAAAATCACTTCACCACCCAAACCCAAACCATCGATTTATATTCATCGCTCAACAGTAGCATTACGAGCTCGGGAATGTGAGACAAGCACTATTAGCAATCACCACAAGACAACAATTCAAACCTGAATTCCGGTATTCATATAGCATGTGTTTCCGATATTCAAAAGTCCCGTTCTTCCTTTCATCATAGCAGACAACTCAGAATCTGTGGTGGGTGAAGTAGCCTCCATCGTAGGCGATTCCTCTTCCCTGGTCTCTTTCAAATCTCCCGTATGCTCGTCCGAGGACATAGTTGGAGAAATTAATTTGTAGAAACTCTTGTCAATCCCTCAACCCAAAATCACACTGTCTATTCTATCATGATCCAAGCAGATTGATACTGTATCAAAGCATCAAACAATGGTTGAATACAATTCAATTGTGTATATGATATAGCAATTTTGAATCCCCTTGTTGTAGGGGGTGTAGCTCAGATGGTAGAGCGCTCGCTTAGCATGCGAGAGGTAAGGGGATCGATGCCCCTCTCCTCCATTTTTCCTTTCTTCTTTTTCCTTATCTTTTGGAAATAGAAAGCATCAACCAAAACAATACGCAATATTTTGTATATTTCTATTTTCACATATTGTTCAAACCCAAATCTCGTAAAAATCCAAAACAAAAACCGCAATGCAGAGTGTGGAACAAAGAATAGACTCACTATAATAATCAATTTAATCTCTATGCTTCTTCTTTGCTTCTCGGCGATTGTGAATGTCAATGTTTGTTCTGGACCACGAAGAGCCAATTCCCCAACCCAAACCTAAGGCCATAGAGGCCGCACGATGTGTAGGCTTTCCTAGCTATTACATGCGAAATACAAACCAACCCAACAGCACAAACGCAAAGGCAGCTCCGATCGCCAAACCGGTTATAGAATTAATGCAAAAGCGGCGTCCATATTCGATCCATGCTTGTTTACAGAACGGATCTATGATGGTACTTTGTTTTGAGTTATTTATGTTATTTACCAAGTCTACAAGGTAAAACAGAGGCTATAGGAGCACTATTAGACATTAAATGATTTACACAAAACTATTGTGGCGAGAAGGGATTTTTATCAGCTTCGATGTTTTTGTTTTTCTGATATGGACGCGTGCTCTCGGTCACAAATAGGGTGCATGAGCGATCTCTGAGAGTGCAATCAATGACAATAATAGCAAACAGAGAGCAAATTGTTTTCTGGCCACTAGAGTCCTTGCATTCCATTTTAAGCACATGATAAAGAGGAAAATACGACGGATGTCAGGAATATAGAATCGCGATTTTCAACAATTTTTGTCGGGATATTTTCGGCGATATATCAAAAGACAACAGAACTATTGTTGTCGTTATTGCGAGTCAATAAGGATCGAGCTTTTTGGTTACAGTCTGAAAAAGCGATACTGAATTATTCAGAAGACTTTCTCGGGTTTTTATCTCTGTTCGTCTTCTGTGGATCCATTGACTCAAATCTATTTTCATTTTCATTATTGATTGTTGGCTACAGCGGATTCTAACTAGTATCCTGTGTGATAAAGCACTTACCATTAACTTGAAATGTCTGTAAGTACCGCTGATTTAAATAGTGAAAATAAAAAGGAAGCAAACACGATATCAGTGAGATGCGAGTAGTTTGTTGTTTTGTGTTGTGAGGATAGTATCTGTGGCGGAGTGGACGAGAAAGAAGATCCTATATTTGTATGTGATAGCTGCCGTATTGCAGTGCACAAATATTGTTACGGAATAAAGGGGCAGCCACAGACATGGCGCTGTGCCGCATGCTGCCTAAATAACCATCGACCGACTTGTGTCATATGTAATACTGTACGTTTACTCTATCAGAATAACAATAAGCGCGATGTCGGTGCATTTTCTCTAACTGAGGCGAATGTAACTTTAGCGCACACAGCGTGTGCTATGGTTTGTACTGAATGTGGTTTTGTGGCAGATTACGAATTTGAGGGGATCAATGGTCTGCCAAACTTCTCGGAAGTGGGCTATAATAAGCAAAACCATGAATTCGCAAACATTAAAGATATTCCGAGGAGTAATCTCATGACCCTCCTAATGAAGTGCAGATCGTATGTCTCCTGCGATTTACAAGCAGGTCATCCGCAGCTACTTCTCCAAAGACACTAATGTGTACGTTCGCATGCCATCGCAGAAGGTGGTCATCAACAAAAGCCGGACAGCCGGCCATCTGTGCAGTCTCTGCAACCACGAAATCAACGGCTGCTTCGTTCGATGCGAGTTCGCTTTGATTCATTCATTCGCTCACACGCAGAGTCAAAAAGTGCCCGATCGCCGCTCATCCCAATTGCGTGTGGAAGGAACAAAATCTCTTCAAGTTTTCGATCGAGCTCACCGTGCCGTCAACGAAACTCCCTCAATCGTAGAAACGTGGATTCAGCATCAGCTGCTATTGCCGCGAGCACGCCGCCACTTCTCGCAAAAATACCCCCTTTTTGAGCCACATCCCGCAAGTGTCGCACATTCGTCAGATTGTGTTCTGTACAGAAACACTGTTCCGATGACGCACAGCGCAGAATGTTGTTCCATGCCGTCTCTTTGAGGACGTAACGAATCTCCTTTCTTCCCGCGATCAAATCGTGGAAACGAAGCAGCTGCGCGGCGACGAGCGCCTCGCGCTCCTCAAATCCAAAACCCGTCTGGCAAGCGACGCCCCCATCGACGCGAGCTCGACGAAACACTATTCCGTGCAGGGCTTCATCGCGTTTCTGTGCCAATACTCGAGCGAAATCGCCTTCTACGAAGAGCGAGCCGGCCAGTTTTTCCCTCTGGACCTGCCCTACGAGCAGTTCGTGCGCGACACCGCCGTCTCCGTCGTGGATCTCCGCGAGAAGGAGCGTCGCCTCGAGGAGCTCGCGCTGCGCCGCAAGAAGGAGTCCATCCGGCGGCTGAGCAGCCTCCCGAACGCCTACGAAAAGCACGTGGTGTCCCTGGTGAACAGTCCGGGACGCTTCCTCGATTCCCCTATGAAGCGCCGCTCGCAGCGGCAGCGCGCGGTGTCGGTGCGACTGATGACTTCGCAGCGCGGGAACGCGGCGGGCTCCGCCCACGCGAAGCAGGCCGCGGAGAGGACGAAGGAAATCACGCACATCACGTCGGAACGCTTCTGGAAGGCCATCGAAGGCGTGTATCGCCGCGTCTTGCCCAAGCTCAGCGACATCGTTGACGGGTTCGTGCCCGATGAGATCGCCACCACGCGCGTGCTGCCCGCCAGGCCCTTCGTCGAGGAGTGGAAAGAGGGAAACGGGGAAACCGAAGAAGGCGTGGTGAGGTAGGAAAGAGGGGGAGAATGAACGGAAGAGTGTTGCTGGACGCGGAAAACACCGCGGATGTGGGATTTGCCGTGCGGAAGTGGGGCCGTGATCGGGGTTTGATCGATAGGCGCGCGCAGGCGAGCGATGAAACGGCCTTCGGAGATAGCTACAGTGCGAGTGCGAGGAGGGAGTGAGGCGTAGAGGGCGTGTGGGACCTGGCGGAGATGCACGAGAGCAAGCGGCTGAATCGCTACGCGGTGCTGGACACGCCTCCGGCGATGGATCTGCGGCTCGTGAGGTACCGAATCCCCGCGAATCCTGGGCAGCCATGCACGCTGTCGTGCTCGTTTCTCGACCCAATCTCGAACGAGATTTTTAATCTGATCGTTGGCTGCGTGAGGGAATGGGAGTGATGCGTAGAGGATTCGAAAGCACCTGCTGGATTCGCTGAATCCGTTGATCAAGAAGGCGAACGCGTGTCAGAATCACGCGACGTCGACGCACGTGTCGACGATCGGCGAGAATCTGCTGCAGATTTATAGGAACGCGGAGTATTGGTGGCAGATGCGGAAGAATCTGAGCGAAGTGTTCAATCAGGAGGCGGAGTTCATGCAGAGTATTTTGCTGGTAGGCGCAAATGAAGCGGATGAGCGATAGGAGGCCAAGGAATCCTACGCGAAGCAGAAGAAAAAGCACGGGATGGTCGTGATGTCTCCCGATTTCTGCCTGGCTTGCGGCAATTACTCGGAGGATCGCGACGAAGAGGCATTCATCATCGGCACCAACCCCATCATCTACTGCTCTCTCTGCCACATCGGCGTCCACATGAAGTGCGTCGGGCTCGAGGCCGTTCCCGAAGACTTCATCTGCGACAAATGCAAGTTCCTCAAGCGAGGTCCGCCCCTCTTTCCCTCCCTCACTCCCAGGCGGCGATCCCAGCGACCTCCACTGCTACTTCTGCCCCAACCTCTACGGCTACCTCTACCAATGCGCCGCTCCCTCGCCCGGCACTGCCGAGAAGCCCGTCTTTGCCCACCTCCACTGCTACCTCTTCCTCGCCGGCTCCGCGATCCGCTCGTTCTGCCCGCTCGTTCTGCAGGCTCCGCAGGTCAGCGTCGTCTACAAGGGCATCTACCAAGACCCCTCGGCCTTTCTCGTCCCCTACAGCGTTCCTTTCGTCCGCTCGGAACCGCCCGCGCGGTCGCAGGCGCGCAGCCTGGTGACGCGGTCGGTGACCAACGCAGAGCGACGGACGGCGTCGGACGCGCCGCCGCGGCTGGACGCGATGGCGACGCAGAACGTGGCGGCGACGCTCATCTTCAACAACACCAAAACGGAGTTCGTTCCCGCGGAGATCGCGCCGACGCAGCTGTTCACGGACTACCAATCGGTGCATCTGAACGGTCTGGAGGACGCCTACAACGCGAATCGGAGGCTCAACAACCGCCCAACCGACCGTTCTTCCTTCTCTCTTCTCCTCTCACCTCCAGAAATCACGCCTCGCCGTCGCGTCGAAGCGCCTCCGCCCGCTCCCATCACCGTCGCCAGCGTGTCCGGCATGCTCTGCTCCATCTGCCGCGTCCCGCTGGGACTCACGCTCCGCTGCGCGCAGCCCGGCTGTCCGCACGCCGTTCACCCTTCCTGCCTCTGGTACATCGGCGGCGAGCTCACTGTCGACTCCGCCCTCCAGTACGTCGGGTCGGGCGTTTCGCCGCACGTCCGCGTCTTCTGTGTGGAGCACCAGCCCGTACGCCGGCTGCTCGCTGATTGGCTGACGCCTAGAAGCGCTCCCGCGAGGAAATCGTCATGCGGATCGTCAAGCGGAACCTCTACCGCCTCCCCAATCTTCTCGAGAAACTCCCTCCCATCCCCGCGAAACCGGCTTCTCCCCGCGATTCGGAGGGCGTTTCGGCGCCCGCGCGAGGCGAAGATTCGGCGGAGGAGCGAGCGGAGTGCAGCGTGTGCGGCTTCGGCTCGCTGGCGCCGCCCCTCAATTTCGTGCTCTCCTCGCCCCCCGCGGAACACAATGAGGAGCGAATTGTGTTCCGCGCGGCGCGATTGCGCGGGAGACCGCCGAGCGAAGGGAACACGCATCGAGTCTTGTTCCGCATGCGGTCGATCTACAACTCCTTCGCCAATGATTTGGATTCCTTCGCCAAGCGGCTCGTCAAAAGTCGAAACGAGGAAAAAATCCCCTTTTCCCCGAACGGCCGCGGGCGTTTCTGGCGGTGCATCGGGTGCGATTGCGTCGTGCACGAGCATTGTCTGGACTTCAAAGATCAGTGGATGCTGTTCCAGGACGCCCAGTTCAAATGTACGGTTTCTCCGTTTCTCCAGTGTAGACTTCATGTGTCTGAGCTGCCTCTTCGCGGACCCGCTGACGAACTGGCCGCTCTGCACGTCCTTCTTCTCGCTCTTCGACCCGCAAGCGACGGTGGCGAGCGTCCGCGTGGCCTTGTCGGAGGGCTGTTGCTACATCTGTGGGCGGAGCGATGGGTATCTCACCATGGCGTCGAACCGCGCGTTTGTGCACAAGCAGTGCGCTCGGTCCTATCCAGAAACGATCTATAATCTGTTTCATAGCTATGCGAGCTCGGTGCAACGCGGGCCGATTCGGTCGATTCCGCGCCCGACGCTGGTGGAATGCAGGAGCCAGAACATAGACAATACGAACAGTACCAATAATCCGAACGGTGCTTCAAAGAATACCAATAAGGATCCGAATCATACCAATACGAATGCTACCAGTAGTAACAATAATACGAATACGAATACGAATACGAATACAAATACGAATACAAATACGAATACAAATCATAACAATAATACAAATAACAACAATCCCAACGGCGTTGAATTCATTGACGTCTGTCAGGACGCATTGATTCGATCCCATGTCGAGTTCGTTGTGCCCCAATTCGTTCCTCAGCAAGGCTCCACTTGCTGCGTTTGCCATCTCCGCAAGGGACGCGTCGTGTGCTGCGGCCATCGCGGCTGCACGCGGCAGTTCCATCTTAGTTGTCTCCGTCCTTATCATTACATTTGTCTCCCCACGGCCTCGGGCTTGTACATTCGCTGCCACGACCATTTCCCCTCCGATTTCCGGCTGGACAAGCAGCTGAACGCGGTGGTGTCGATGTACAACGCGTCGGACGCCGCGCTGATGCTGGAAATGCTGCAGCTGCTCAAAGAATACGCGAGCGAGTGGCATAAACTGTCGAACCGGCTCTCTCTGCAAATGCAGGAAGTGAAGACGGCGATGGAGACGAAGAAGAACGAAGTGGTTCACTACCACAAACGAAAGATCAACTTCTGCTCGATCGTGCAGGAGTTCCGAGTCCAAATCGAGCGGTCGATGATGGAGAATTGGTTCGGAAGGAAGGAAGGCGTGGAGAAAACCCGATCGATTTTGATCGTGTTGGCGAACGAAGTGGAGCGGAAGGAATCGGAGATGGTCGCTTCGATGAGGAGAGCGGTTCTGAAAGAGAACGGAGCGGGGTTAAAAGAGAACGGAACGGTTCTAAAAGAGAACGGAACGGTTCTAAAAGAGAACGGAGCGGTTCTGAAAGAGAACGGATTGGGGCTAAAACGAGAACGAAGCGAGAGAGAACGGAGAGCGAAACGTGTTCGATTGGATGTTCGATTGGAAGTCGACGAATCGTCTTCGAAGAATTCGGACGGCGATTTTGTGTTGAGTGAAAAGAGCGAAGCGAGCGAGAAGAAGAAGAAGAAGAAGAAACGACAGCAGCCGATGAAGAAGAGAACGGCGAATGTGCGGGTCAAAGGGGTCAATGAAGACGAAGACGAAGATGATGAAGAAGAAGAAGATGAGGATGAAGAGGATGAAGATGAAGATGAAGATTTGTATAAAGAAGAAGAGGATGCAGAGGAAGAAGAAGAGATGAGGAGAAGAAGAGCGGCAAAGCGAAGAGAAAGGAGACTCAAAGAAAGAGAACGGAAGTTGAGGAATGCAAGAGCAGCGAAAGTCAAGAAGAATAAAACTGAAAATGAAAAGAAGGAAGAACTCAGAGAGAACCTTCAAAAGAAAGAACAACAACAACAACAACAACAACAAAGTGAAACGAAAAACCAAAACCAAAACGAGGATGAAATGGAAATTGAACCGAAGATTCAAAGCGAAGCCCAGCCCAAACCCAAGCCCAAAATCGAAACGCCCAAAGAGAAAGAAGAAACAGAAAAGAAAAAGAAACAGCAACAACAGCAGCAACAACAACAACAACAACAACAACAAAAGCAATCCCAACAACAAACCGACGCCGCGGAACTCGACGCGAAAAAGAAAGAAGAAGCCGACCGCAAGAAGAAGGAGCAGCGCCAGCAGCGCCTCCAGGCTCAGAAACTCCGCGCGGAGCGCCTGGAGGAAGAGCGGTTATCGCGGGAATTGACGCAGAAGCTGCTCGAAGAAGAGAAGCGGGAGCGCGTGGAGGAACGGCGTCTCCGCACCATGCAGAAGCGCGAAGAAGCCAAGCAGAGAGAACTCGAGCAGGCTTTGATTCAAACCACCGCGCGGAGTCGCGACGCCAACGACGCCAAGGCGAAGATTGCCGCCAAAAATACCGCTAAAAATACCGCCATGACGGAAGTGGCGAAGAATCCCGCGGTGAAGAGTTCAGCGAAGAAGGGAGACAAGGAAACGCCCGGCGAAGCGGGAAAAACCGCGGGAAAGGGAGCGGCGAAGGAAACGCCGACGACTCCGTCGAAGAAAAATGGCGGGAAAGAAGCCGGGAAGGCGGGAAAAGAGCAGGCGAAGACGCCCGCCAAAATGGCCAAAGAAACGCCCGCGAAATCGCCGTCGAAACCCGCCAAAGAACAAACGAAAACTCCCGCGAAAACCTCACAGAAAGAAACGCCCGCCAAAACGCCCGCCAAACCATCGTCCAAAGAAACGCCCTCCAAATTATCTTCCAGAGAAACTTCAAAATCTCCTTCCAAATTACCTTCTAAAGAAACGCCCTCCAAAACTCCCGCCAAAGAAACTCCTTCCAAACCATCGTCCAAAGAAACTCCCTCCAAAACTCCTTCCAAAGAAACTCCTTCCAAAGAAACTCCTTCCAAAGCCCTCCTTTCTCCCTCTTCTTCTTCTTCTTCCTCCTCCTCGCTTTCTCCGGAGTTCCGCGCCTGGCTGCTCGCCCGGAACCTGGAGGCCAAGTCCGCCGCGCTCTCCGCCTCCGACCGCCACCGCTACGCGCGCGCCTCCAAATTCGACGCTCTCGCCGACTCCGCGCCTCCCGCCAAAGCGTCCTCCAAAACCCTCGCGATTGTAGCCACTCGTTCCCTCCTTCTCACCTCCACAGAACCGATTTTTTAAACAGATCGCATCCAAAAAAATGACTTTTCCTCATCTCTCGCAAATCGCCGTCGCCCACCAATCCTTTTTCTTCTACGACACCATGGCGCTCACGCTCACGCACCCGACCTTGCTTCGCCTTGCCGCCCTTTTGGGTCTTCTGCTCCAGCAGCTCAAACAGCTCAAGCAACCCCAGGGATCGTGGAAACCCGAAATGGAGGAACTCCGAGAGGCCGTCGCCTCGGGAGAAATCGCGGGAATCGAGCAGTTTTGGCAGAGATGGCGGGAATGCGATCCTGAAGAAGAAACCGCCAAAACGCTTCTGAACGAACTTGAAAAATCGTAGGGATTTTTGGAATGTTCGAAATAGAACCGTTTTCGAAGCGCCGAAGCAAAGTCGCGTGAAACTCGAAATCGTGGGGATTTTTGGAATTCCTAAAATCCAGGAGGTTTTTGCACAGAGCGAAAAGAAACTGTCTCTGGTGCCGCAAGTCTGCATGGTCTGCCGCAAAATCGCGCATTCCCCCGCGATTCACACGGTACTCTGCATCGCCTGATTTTCATGCAGCTTCCTTACGTCCCGTTCGTCTGCAACTACTGCCTGGACCACCGCGGCGAGATTTTAATCGGCACCTTTGTGGAGCTTTTTGATGTACCTGTCCCAATTGTGGTTCGAATTAGGGTCAAAAATGGGCGACGTACCGAATTGTGGGCTGGAATGCCGAGAAACAAGAGCATTTACTGCTGGATCGGGACGGGTTCGCGCTCTCGCTGGCCATCGGGGATTTCTATCACTTCTATCGGACCTACGCGGACGTTTTGCTCGAGGTAGAATCGCGGTTTTTTTGTGTTTTTAGGCGTCGACGCGGTCGCTGGACTATGTGGCGAGTGTGAAGTATTACACGTTGTTGATGCTCGCAAAGGAGGAAGGAGAAGAGATCATTGATGGAGTTGTGCCGGAATCGTACTTCGCGGAGGAGAATGAACATTGTCCGGTAATGATGAGGATGATGCGTGATGAAAAGATGTGCAAGAAAGTGGCTACGGATCGCTCGCTGTTCTGTGATAATTGTAACCGCTGCTTCCATATGCGATGTTTGAAGATGAAGAAAGAACCGAAAGTGGGTTGCGGACGGAAAGAATGAGCGATAGGGACATTGGTACTGCGAGAAGTGCTGCAAGCTATGTGAAAAGAATTGATTATAGTTGTGTTAATAAAGCCGATATTTGCATCATTGAGATGCTGTTTGTTCGATTCGCAAGCTACGAGGGAAAATGGACGTGTGCTTTGTACATGCATTAATAGGTGGTGGAGTGGGTTTGTCTCATCACGACTAAATGACTGAGCCATAGATCCATGGAAATAGACCATCTTTCACAGATTGGATAATTCTTATTTTTTGAAAGAATTAGGGTATGGGGATATAATGAGAAATGATACCCTCTTTGATGACGCAATTGGAATTGTTTGGTCATATTTTTAGTTCATGGTTGATAGTCCTATTCAAAAACCTTTACTGGATAACGATAAGAACAAGTCTGGGACACAGAGAGAACACTTTTCCTTGGGTCCACTTCTGTCAGGTAGGAAACAATGTGATTTTTCTTAACGTAAAGGGTTGTTTATCATTAGTTCAATCATCGGGTGCGCTATTGCCCTTCATAAAGTGGCTCAACGTAATCGTACTGTTTTCTTCACAGTATCTCACCCTAGATATCAATAACATCTGGAGCTTTATTTTCACTCCCCTCTCGGACAAGACGAATGCGAGAACAAGAGGAGTTATGTGGAGGATCCTTATGATCTATTCGTTTTTCATTCTTAGCGGTATTCTTGGAATACTCAACGCTTTTCCGAGAATTAGAAAGGTGTTAGACAGAAAGCCCCGATTTGGAAGAGTTCAATCGTTTCCATTGTAGTCTGTGTATTTATCACGTAGCAATCGGTCTCTCCTTATTTCGACTCTGCTTGTTCTCTTAAACATATCTTGGGTCCTCTGTCTCTGCTTGCTCGACCTCTCCTCCACTCCTTTTAAAGAGAAAACGGTTAATTATCTCTATAAGATATCTTCCTATTGGTTGAACCTCCTATGGACATTGGCAGTAGCATCTCTCCGTCTTCTCAACCCATAGCTTGTTCTTTGTATGCGTAACACCATCTGGCAGCAGATTTTCAACGCTCCCTACGTTTTCTCTCTTTCACTTCATTCCATGTAGTCCACGGTTATCACCACGCATAAACACATCGGAGTGCTCACCTTCATCGTAACCATTCTTCACATCATTCTTGCGTTTGCAAAATGGCATGCGTCCCATTCTGCCAATTATTGGATCTATCTTTGGAACAAAATTTGGAATTATTCTCCAATCCCTGTATGTCATGATGATCAAGGATCACTGTACAGATTAGTTGGAAACATCCTAACTTTTTGTGGGCGACCGATCTCCTGTTAAAGACTCTTCCATGTTCTTTGTTAATGATCGTTGCGTCCATCCCCGCCATCCGAAGAGCATCTTGGGAATTGTTCTTCTACCTGCATCAGATCGTGATTTTGTGTTTGCTGGTGCTGTTCATCTACCACAGCAGCAATTTTGTGTACTACGCGACCATTCCGTTTGTGCTGTATGCAGCGGACAAGCTCCTTCGCTGGTTTTCGATCTATTCCAAGCGTTGTTTCATTCGGCGCATTGAGCGCTTCGACGATTTGCTCCGCGTCGAGGTCGAGGTCCAACATCGTTTCCGACGCTCCTCTAACGCCTCCGACGCCTCCGATTTGGTCGGATCGGTCGTCTATCTTCGCGTGCCGCGCGCGAAATGGTTCGAATACCACCCGATCTCATTAGCCTTCAATGAGGGCAGCCGTCTCTTCTTCTACATCAAAGTCGTCGGAAATTCGCGCAGCTGGTCGCGTCGCCTCGCCGCCCTCGCCGGACAGACCGATCTGCGCGCCTATATCGAAGGTCCCTACACGATGACGCGGCGAAGCAGAAGCCCCGCCAATTCTGCCGCCAATTCTGCCGCCATTTTGAACAAGGAATACGGCCAGAACGTTCTCATCGTCGCTGGTGGCGCGGGCTTCGCGGGCGTTTCGGCGCAGCTCCGCGATTATCTTCAGCTGGTGCGTGATCTCCCCGCGGGACTGGATCCAAAACCGCGGTTACTGCTGGTGTTGGTGGTTCCGCATCATCGCCATCTGCAATGCATGGCGAGGCTGCTGGTGGAGGCGGAGCGCGTGGCGGGCGTCCGCGTGGAATTATTCGTGACGTACAGCGGCGACGCAGAGCGGAGAGCGGCCGCGTCGCGCGAAGCCCACGGCGAGCGATGCGATCTCCGCGAGAACGACGTGGAAATCATCGTCAGTGGAAATAGTGGAAATGGTGGAAATGGTGGAAATGGTGGAAATGGTGGAATGGATGTGGAGAGCAAGCGGAGGGAGTTGGAGTTCACGGTGGGGCGGCCGGATTTCGCGGCGCTGCTGAAGGAAGTGGGGAGCGAGCGGGTGGAAGTGTTGTACTGCGGACCGAAGGCGCTGGGAGCGACGCTGTTCGAGGCGCTGGCGGGTCGGAAGAGCCCGTTCGCGTTCCATGCGGAAGTGTTCGATATGTGGGTTGTTTGATGGAACAAACAAGAGACAAGGGACTGAAGGGAGTGTCGTTCGGATTCTTCTCCATGGAGGATTGCGGACCCAGCTCCGAAGCTTCGCCCTCCTTGCTTGCGTTGCCTTCACTGTTTTCAGGGTCGTTGATGGTCACTTGAATCAACAAATCGCTTCGATTCGCCTCGGTTTCCTTCGTTTCGCTGCCATCGTCCATACAAACCACCGGGATGCCGCACGGAATTCCGCCGGAGATTTCCGTCCCGACCGCTTCCTTCTCTGCCTTGCTTTCCTCATCGCTCTCCACTTTCATGTACGGCCACGAATCCACGTCTGCCGGTTCCTCCACCCACTTCTTTCTCTCATCTTCATCCTTTTCTCCCTTTTCTTCTTTTTCTTCTTCTTCTTTTTCTTCTTCTCTCTCTCTCCACTTCCGTCGTTCCTCCTCTTCCTTCACCCACTTCTGTCTCTCCTCCTCCCATTTCCTTCTTCGCTCCTCCTCCTCCTTCTTCCTCGCCTCCTCCTCCTCCTTCGCCTTCTTCTCGATCTCTCTGCACAGCGCATCGCTTCGCAGCGCCGATCTCCGTCTCTGATAGAACAGCACGTACGCCGTGCTCCGCACCAGCTGCGTCTCCTCGATGTCTCCCACCGAGCTGTCGTTATACTCCTTCCACCGCGGCTCTCCCTCGTTCTCGTCCTTCGCGTAGCAGTAATAATGCCCTCCGCTCGACGTTCCCGAGTGATTGCAGATCGAAACCAGGTCGTACACGCAGTCTTCGCTCTGCTCGCGCGAGGCCTCGTGCAGCCACGGCTTCATTTCCAGCCCCGTCAGCGGGAAGCCGATCGTCGTGTTGATCTTCCGACGCGCTCCGTAGCTCGAGTAGCTCGAATAGTACGAGTACGAAACGGCCGATTGGTCGTATTCGAAGCGTTCCAGCTGGAGAATCAGAACGTCGGGCAGCCGGTCGATGAGCGTTCGGTTCTCCGCGCACACTTCGCTCTGGCAGCGCGGACAGAACCATTTGTTCTCGTTATCGAGATTTCCGCGCGTGCTGAAGCGATTCAAGCAGGCGGTGAGCGAGTTCTCGGGATTCAACGCCGCTTTCTCCTTCTCGAAATCGTGCAGTTTGGCGGACGAAAGCGGAGAGAAGAGTCGCGACCAGAACGGATCGTGATTCAAAACGTCGGGATGGCCGTATGAATAATCGTAATAATGAGAGGAAGTGACTTTCTGCTTCATCTTCTCCGACTCGATGCATTTCACCACCAATCCGATCGTGGTGACCGAAGACGCGTACGTTCGCAGGAGGCTTCGCACCTTCGCGTTGCGGTCGTTGCACAGAAAAAACTTTTTGGGCTCGATCGACGAGCGCGAAGAGTACAGATGATACAATGGCAAAAAAGGAGCCCATTTCGCCCACTCCAAATCGGCTTCGTCCGCCTCGAAGTGGGAGGGTTCGATCGAATTCGATGGGGTTGGCGGGCTCGACAAGATTTGCTGGTTCGTCTGGTAGCCATCCAAATCCATTGGATGCATGTCCGATTCCGAGTAGACCGACTCATCGCTCGAGAACGTGTTGCTTTCGAACTCGTCGTTCCCGTTCCTCGGCGTTGGGACCGGAACGATCACGCCTTCCGAGGGAATCTCCAACTTCTGGCCCGCGGTTCGCTCCTCGATGGCTCGCAACGGCACCGATCTCACCTTCGAAATGACTCGAAGCCGGCCTTCTTGCACCGGTTTCTCCTCCACTTCCATCGAATTCGCAGCGATCTTCGGGTCTTTCGCGGGGGACTGCGCAGTCTCGCGCGACTGGCTCTTCTCCGCTTTCACGCCTTTCGGCGACGTTTCCTGGCTCGCTACGCCAGAAATCGCCTCGTTTTTGGGAACTTCGGAGGCCTGATCGGCATTCAAGGAGCCGCCTGGCAAGCCAAACTGCGAATTCGATTTTGTTGATGAAGATGAAGATGAAGATGAAGATGAAGAGGATGAAAGGATTTTGGACATATAGTCGGAAGGCTTCACGAGTTCTTTTCGCAGCGACTCCGCGCTTTTCGTCTTGGCATTGGTGAAGCCTCCTTCTTTTTCGTTGAAATACACGCGCTCGTCCAACGAACTATCGCTCTCCGAGACCGGATCGGGCTCTCCGCTCCACGCAGAACCCGCTCCCGCTCCAGCGTGCTGCGGAACACTCGTCGTCCGATCGCTGCGCGGCTTCACGACGCCATAACCCCCCGAGGAAGGCTTCACAGCGCTGTAACTTCCCGAGGAAGGCTTCGGCCGCACGTTCTTCGAAGCTCCCAAAGCAGAGACGGAGGAAGAAACCGAGGGCAAAGAACTTTCGGAAGGATGCGTGAAGGAAGACCCGAACCGCAAATTGCTCGGATTGCTTCCACTGTTTCCCCAATTAGAATTGGTTCCGCCATTACTCCTGCTCGCCTTGGTTCCACCGTTTCTCCAATAGGATCCACTGTCGTCCTCGTCTTCGTCCCAATCCAGCTCTTTGTTATTCCGATAGTTCGACGAGGATCCATAGCCATTATAGAAAGTCGAGCTGTACGAGTTCGTCTGCCTTTCCTTCTTCGCGTAATCCTCCACCTCCGCGCGGATCCGCGCGATCTGCCCGAACCACGCCTTGCACTCCTTCTGAATCGCCTCTACGGGGAGCTGCAGACTCGCCACGGCTTCATTGAGACGCTCTCCGAGCTCCCAACACGTCGCTTCGGAGTCCAAAAACAGCACAAACGGGGTCGCCATTATCGGCTCCATCGACTCATAATTCCCGATACACGTGACTCGGACCGCAGACGGAGCCACCAGGAAGAGAAGGTCCGATGTGCCCTTCGGACGCGGCAGCTACACATAACGAGCTTGTTATGGCATAACGAGATAGGCGAGAAAGCGAACGCCGTACGACAAATTCGGACTAATGCTCTCCGATTCTTCGAGCACTGTAAACGTATCCGAACGGTAGGTCACGAGCACGACTTGGCTCGGCAGAACGTCGCAGGCCTTGGCCACTTCGTTGATGAGAAACGAGCATTTTTCGCTCTTTTTGCAGGTGGTGAAGACGTGATCGGGTATTGGATGCGACGAAGAGAACCCGGAGAGCGTCCCCGGCATCAGGTTGATGTACACGGTGGTCATTTCCGGGGGGAGAGGAAGCGTGAGGAAGCTGAACGGCTCATAACGAACACGTTGCTGATGATGATTCGAAGGGGTCAGAGACTACCTCACCACACTCTGTACAGCGCACGAATGTCACGGTCTGGCCGTAGAACCAGTCGATTATGGGACTCTGGTTCCGTTGGAGGTGGAAACTCCACATCTCACTGGATTGCTCCGGACTGAACGAAGTGTACACCGGGTACTCGATGTATGGCTTCTTTGTGATCTTGTTCATATCTTCGTGGAGCAAATCGAGGAACATGATCTGAAGATGAAAATGTGGCACAAAAAAATACAAAGAATTCTTGGCTGTCGTGCTGGTCGTATCCTTGAAATTGTGAAGCATATATTTCAACAACGGACTTCAAGTCTGCAGGAGAGGTGTACGGGCTGGTCCCCATCCAGAGCCTTTTCAATAAATCCACGTAAACATTCATAACACGTCCACCACTACCACTGGTATTGTCCTTGTTGATCTGAGCGGTAAACTGAGATTTTAACACTTACGAATTTCTTGTATTCACCGCTCAATAGTAACTGAGTAATTTGCAGGCAATGAGATAAGCACTACACATCAATTCTCCAGTACGAAGCAACCTGAAGTGCTGTGTTCATGTAGCAGGTGTTTCCGATATTTGACAATCCCGTTCTTCCAAAACGAGGTGTTAAAGAATAGCTCGAAGAATAGTAGCTTGGGCTATACTTGTCGGCACTGGTATTATTACCGTAGCGCGAATACCAGTCAGGTTGCATCAGAATCAAAGAATGTCAAAGAAAATATATACCTCAGACAGTCAGTTTGAGCTACAGCCCAAAAGTATTCAGCGCTATTCTTCCCGCTTCTTCCAAATTCATAGCGATATGGTGGGGTTAATCTCAGAATTGCAAATGCAGACGTTTGGATGGGACTGGAGATCGATAGATATTCTAAACAATCAGAGTTTTCAAAAGAAAAAAGCGATTTTCGGAGTTTTCGGTACACTTTATTGATTTCTTTCATATTATCAAGGTAAGATCTATTGCAGATTGATTACTAGGCTTATTACCTATTGCTCTGTGGAGGTTACGTTTTGATATTCCCAGTGTTTGAAGCACTTGACGAATACGCTTTCTTCTGGCATACTAGTGATTCACACAGACTTGAATTTGTAATTGAAAGCGTTCTGCTTGCTATTTTAGGTGCTTAATTGTTAATTGCAAACCCCTCCAATATGGAACCATCCAATTTAAGCCTTGAAACCCCTCGTGCAACCATTCCTGATTTATATGTTGGATTTTCTCCCTCCTTTTCAACCCATTTCCTGACATCCTCCAATATCGCTCTTCCTTATTCTCAAGATAGTTCCCCTTTCTCTCCCACACTCCAATACCGTCCCAGTCTCTTCGACTATTACGGCACTCGTTTTAATCTGAGTTCTCCTGCTTCTCCAACCTCTCCTTTATTTTCCAGCGTATTTCATAAAGTCAAGAAGGGCCGGCACCGTCTCACCGTGGAAGAATTCAACGCCCGTTTTGCCGGGAAGCCCATTAGCCACACACGTCTCACAAAAAACGTTTCCAAACTCAAAAAAACGCTTCACTACTTCGGAACGATCGGCCGTCCCATCGCAGCGGCGCCACGCGCCTCCAGCCTCCCCTGCACGCCCATCCGCAACGTGGATTCGCTCTCCTCCTCCGACGCTTCTCTCGACCGTTTCATCGCGACTCCGATGCGACTGCAGTACCGACTGAAGCAAATGTGCAAAAAGCGTCCCATTCTGATTCAATCGCCTCTTCGGCAGAGCATTCGCGCGACGAGACGCGATCGACTTCGCTGTAGAATAGAAAACAAACGATGACGCTAAGCGTTTAACGAAAACGGAACGGTTTCCGTGCCGTTGCTGCCGACTGCGAGCGGATCGCTGTCGTTTTCGATGAGAAAAGAAGACGAGAACGACGAAGGAAAGGGAGGAGAAGGAAAAGGAGAGAAGGAGGAGAGAGAAAACGAGCAGAAGAGAAAGGAGCGGATCGAAGAGCGGAGGGAGGAAGCGTTGGAATTGGTGGGAAGCGTGCGAGATGTGAAGTTGACGGGGTCGGAGGAAGTGATGCTGGATTTGAACGAGATTACGATCTTGATGAAGGAAGTTCCGCGCGAGCAATTGCAGAATGTGGGGTTTGGGATGGGGAGTGAGGGATAGACGAAGAAGAAGCTGGCAGAGAAGACGCAGCAGTCGGAGTCTGAACATTTTACTTTGTGATTTGAATTCTTTTTACTTTATATGGAGTGTTTGTTGGATGAAAAGGGCTTTAGGAGGTTGGGAGATGAATGGAATAATAATGGGGATTAGGGTAGGGAGTCGATAGCTAGCTAGATAGATAGATAGAGAAGTATGAAAAAGGTGATGAGTTTGGATTGTTTGGTCACTCACTTGATCAATTCATTGATTCAATCATTGATTCATTCAATTCATTGATTCATTCAATCGATGATTCAATCATTGATTCATTCAATTCATTCATTCAATAGATAATTCATTCATTCAATTCATTCAATTCATTCGTTCATGATTTGTCCAACAAACATCCATTGGATTCAACAAACAATCCATTCTCTACTGCAAGATTCGAATCGACCCATCCCAACTGCTCACCGCCACCGTGCTCACAAGCAGCGGATGCCACGCCACGCTCAGCGTCGCTTCCTTCGCCCCCACATCCATTCTCTTCACCACTTTCGACGATTTCGTATCGTAAAACACGACTTCTCCAGAGCTGCAGCCGGACACGATCGTTTTCCCATCCCCCGAAAACGAGCAGCCGATTTTGAACCCATTCGCTTGATGTCCTTCGTATCTCTGCTCTCATTTCCACCTCCGTTTCTACCTTTCGCACGTCCAATCGGTACGGTTTCGTCGATTCGAACGACGCAATGTACCCCGCAGCGCTCTGTGCGATGAACACATTTTCGATAGGATGCTTTCGAACACATGTGCATGTGTAACCTTCGATGTACACCTGGTTCGATAAACGAACTCCCTACTCATCGAACAAGCAAAATGCAACACACTGATTTACAATCCCACACAATAATGCCCTGATCCTGCGAATTTCTCCGAACGATCTCTGCGGTCGAAACAAAGCTGTAGCCATTGCTCTACTTCACAAACTGGTTCGAAACAAACATCCAGAAAGGTCATGTCTTGGACTTCGCCAAATCGACCGAAATACTCGCGAACCACGCGATTGATGCGCATATCCCAGCAGACGATGCCGCGTCGTGTCGCTCCAGATAAAAATATGTTGGGATTAGTGGGGTGAGGACACAGAGATGAAATCCATTCTGTGTGGTGGTAGGAGTGAATGATTTTTCCAGATTCGAGATCTGATACGTTTACATATTTATCTAGTCCTCCCGAGAGGAGCTTCGTGCCATCACATGTCCATTGCACGTCTTTTACTCCTTCGGAATGCTCGACCGATACTACCTCTCCGGGAGTATCAAACACAGACCATATGCGCGCTGTATGATCTAGGGATGCAGAAGCTAGGAGATGACCGTAGGTGGGATGCCAGCGGATGTTGTTCACTACGTTCGAGTGATCGTTAATGACGGTCAAAATTTGGGAAGGGAGCTTGCATTCAGGAACAAAAGTTCTATCCCATTATCAATACCAACATTAGACAAGATACTGCTTTGAATATCGTTTTAGGTCCTCGCGAATCTCAATCTCGTCCCATTTTCCTATCACTCACCTTTTGGCCAAACCCATACGTTTGAATGTAATCTTTGGATTGTACACACTAGGAGTCTCCTTGATCCCCGTGATTCGATCCCGTTTTCGAACATACGCCCCTGGGGTCTATACTCTCAACAGGAAGAATAGAAACCCACTCCCGCTCGTTTCTGTGACACCTTTGACATAACAAACACACAATAAAGATTGGGGATGAACACTGGCAAACCCGCTCACCGCGCTGAAATACTTCCCATCCTTCCTCTCCTCCTTCTTCACATTGCTAATCAACTCGATTCCATGTGCATCAGCAATATTAAAACTCGATGCCAATCCGGACACATATCCTCCCTTTGCAGCCTGCCCAAGCCGTTTCAGCGTTTTCTGCGCTACCCTCAAACCCTTCCTCGGTTCCTACACAACTTCGTCTTCTTCACGATCAGCTTCGCGAAGCTCCCTCCGTTCTCCAGCATTCCGTTTTCGATTCCCATCGCTTCGTCCGCGTAGCTCGTCGCCGCCACGCCGAACCGTCGCCGATTCAGCTGTTTCTGGATCTCCGACGGCTGTCTCGCTTCCTTCATTTTCCGCACGCGGCGACCGCCGCGCCGCTTCTTCGGCTCGTCCCGCGGGACTGGCAGCGCCTTCTCGCGCATCCCCGGCGTCGGCTCCTGCCATTTCGCCACTTTTTCTTGGATGGTTCGGCGGTATTCCGCGCCGTTCTCGCCGTTCTGCGCGTTCTGCGCGTCGATTCGCGCCGCCAGCGTCAGTTTATTCGCGACTATCCGCGCGGTTTTCTGGCGCAACGCGGCCGGCGCGCTCTGCACCAAGTCGCTCTGATAGAGAATGCCGCTGTGCCGCGGCAGCGCGAGCCCCGTGCCCTCGAAGGTCTGCTTTTGCTGGCCAATCAGCATCACGTTGCACGCTGGCATGCTCGCCAAGGCGCGAAGTCCGCCTGCTTGGGCCACTAGCCGCGCAGCCAGGTGCGTGCCGACGAGGGCGGAGCAGTTGGGGGCCATGCGGAGCATGCGGGACTCGATGAAGCGAAGAAAAAGGCCGCGGTCCGCATCGAGCTGAATTGCTTCGGAGGTGAGCGAGCGAAGCTCAGAAAGCGCAGAAGGGGAAAGAGGAGAGCCGGTGGTGGTAGAGGAAGCGATGCTGACGAGCATAACTTGAGAAGGAGGAAGAATTGTATCGAGCGGGAGTTTCGTCAAATCCTAAAAATAAGAAGAAGATGGAGGGAAAAGTAGAACGGTCTCATTTTGAATTAACGCCACCACGCGAAGATAGTCGAGTGGATTTGAGATGAGTTCGACGAGTTCGGGGAATTTGGTGGCATAGAGGGAAGAGACGGCGTGATGGATGGCGGCGATTTCTTCGCCGATTTGGGAGAGGAGCGTGTTGGTCTTGAGGATCAAATTGTAGCTGGAGGTAAAAGGACGCGAAAAAACATACGCAGGGTCGTCTTCCAGATTCATTGTGATTTGGTTCGACGATTCGTCTACTGGCGTTTCCAAAAGCTTTTTTACATTCTGGAGTTCAGGAAACAACATAAAGCCTACTTCCAGGTGAGTTTGATATTGAGGATCTTTCTGAAGGTGGCGAACCGCTCCAGGAACGAAGCTTTGAATCGGTTTCTCTAACTAGAATTTAAGTAAAAAAGCGAAAAGCTGCTACTCCCGCTTCTTCCTTTTCCGCGTCTGATTCCTCCTCATTTCCTTCTGATAAATCTTCTATTTGCATGTTTGCTTCATTTGATTGCTGCTCCTTCTCCTGATTGTCCTCTTCTTCCAGCAGGTCCAAATCAGCTAAGAATTCATCTGCAAGTGTACTCTAAATGTGATTTCGATTGCAAAGGCACACCATTCTTTGGAGAAACAAACAAAATGTGAAATAGAACAAAAACTATTAGTCACTGATAGAAGAATGATCAGAGCGAATGATACAGACTAGATATTCCAAACAAACAAATATCAAAAAGTAAGAAACAAATCATACATTCACTCATCCAGCTACCAAAAGATACAATTAAACTCCCCTCGTCCGTCTCTGTGGTTTCACAATCTCCCTACACTCAACCCTCCTCCTCCAACTCCCACTCGACAATCAGCAAGAAACACAGAACTAAAAACACGCAGATTACAAACAAAACCCCGCGATTCACGTACCAATCCGTGCGAAGCGTCGCCTCCCACTGTCTCCACCACCGAGAGACCCTCATAAGCTCTACACTCTCATCACTCCCATCCATCCCTCACTCCGATTCTTCTCGAATTGCGACGGCAGAGGGAAAAACGACTCATAAAACTGGCGAATCATTCGCTCCGCCGCCTCCGATTTCACCGTCAAATCATCGTTAATGCAAATAAACTTCGATTTCCGCCGACGCACGCTATCAAGCTTCGCCTCACGCCATCCAATCAACGTCTACTTGGATTTGAGTGTCCGTTAAATTGTCGCTGATCATCTGGAACGCCACATCCCGATCGGATTTCTTTCGAATCGGCGTCGCAGGTCGTACATGCAGAATCGCAGCGTTTTGCACAAGCGTGCAGTTTTGAAAGGATTCGAACGTGATATTGGGAGTGTAAAACGTGTGTTTCATCAAGCGAAAAGGATTGGAGGGCGCCGAGAAAATGCGAAAATGCGGGTTTGTTTGATTCGAAACGCACGACAGCAGCGTTTTCATCGTTCTACGCGTGATAAAACGCTTGGAACGCGCACTCTCGGCTTGCATCGCTTCCAAAGCACATCGCATTGAGTGTCTGCAGCTCGTTCTGATTCAACACACCGTCCAAATCCGTATCCACGCGTTTCCACAGCGTTTTGATCGGGTTTTCATGCAAACTCGCTCCTATTTCTTCCAAATAGTGGAAATAGAGAAACGCATATTGGAGATCGGTGGGTTCTCTGAATCGATGATGCATCGTTTCATTGAATTGCATCGTCATATTCTTCTCAATCAGATCCCAAACCCTCCGATTCATTAAATGGGGCATATGTGCCGGAATGTCCCTTCCTCGCTTCCCGAACATTCGAATCAGCTCCAAGTTCGTCGAGACCAGCGAGTCGTGATACGTGTCCTCCGATTTCGCTGTTGTGGCTCGCTGGTACCGATCGAACGTGTCGTTCCCGACCTCGCAATCGCCCAGATCGAAGCCACACAGCGCTGTGTTGCACCCAAAGTCGCACACGCCGTTCCCTAGCATCGAATAGCGGCCTATGACACCATAAATGCCCATCGATTACATTTCGCGGAGCATTGCGGAACGCGCCAGGAGGCGTAGAGAAACTGCGTTCGCGACTCCGTCATGAAATCGCCTGGAAACACGGGGGAGCCGAAGAAAACGTCGTCGTTTAGATAGATGAAATAGTCGGAGAGGGAGGGAATGTGGTGGAGATTGAGCTCAATCGACGGCGAAGAAAAGGTCGGCAGGACGGTCTGGTCGCGGTAGATCTCGCTGTGGGTTACGATCCTCACGCGGGGATTCGAGGTGTCCAGCCAGGAGGGAATTTGGCCGTTTGTCACGATGAAAACATTCCGAATCCAGGGAGCGTTCACTTCCAACGAACGGAGGCTGTATCTACGCTTGGTACAATAGGAGACGCGCACTTTAGTTCGTCATTGTCTCGAAAACGGTTATCAGAAGTCGAAGTATCGGAGAGTGACTCATTAGTAATATTGTGGCTATCGTAGAATATTTTCTCATAATAATTCTTCTCCTGCACCCAGTCCGGATCACTTCCATTCACCCACGTATAGACTGCATCAATAGGAGGAAAAGCCAAAAGCTGAAAATAATCCTTATTCCCGATATTGTCATTGAACCTCTGTTTACCACGAAAACCACTCTGGTTCCCGAATTCGGTGTGTACAGCTTGAAATATGTAAAAACTGCACCAACCCATGTATGCAATTAAAAATAGAATTAACACGATTCTATACACTAGTTTCCCAATTAAAAAGAGAATACAACTCCACCACTGTTTTCTTCCTTGCCATTAGTTTTGCAAGGTTGACTTTGCTTGCTGTGGGGTAGCAGCTCCCATACGCATCCATCCCCAAAAGATAGACCTGTTTGAAACAAACAATGAAACATAAATCGACATTAGCTTTCTATTCATTTACATGATCTGCCTTCCACATCTCCAACCACTGAGCCACTCGAGAGACATTCTGCTCCAAGTCCTCATAAGTTTCGCTTCGAATCTCTTGGACAATGTTAGGGTCGTAAGACTCGCGCGCTTCATCCAAAATCGTCTGCATGATCTCACACTCCACATTTTCCTGGACTTTATGCAGCGAATAACCTCTACGAATCAAGTGAAATTCATCGATCCAACCTTTCAGTTAGTCGATCAAAGAGAATCGTATTGTCACAACGCAGAACAAGTACCAAATCAAACCATCTCTCTGGGAAGAAATCGACAGTGTGGTGCTCCAGAACGACACCACCTTCACTCATAATCGGTTCCAAGTAATCGAGCAACTGTGTGTTGATATAACAAAACTCTCCTACCTGGTCTTCCGCATTTTCGTCGACAATCAAGCACTGGAATTCCTCGTCCCATCCCGAACTGAAATGCTCTCTTTTCACCTATAGCGATCAAACACCAATCTTAATAGAGTACAACATCTCCAACAGTGATCCGCTTCATTCCTGTTCTCTCCTAAATCTCAGTTCCGCACACCCAACAAAAACAGCAATCATGTCTGCAAACGTTGTTTTTCCGGTTCCCGGGGTTCCAGTGACCAGAATATTCGGTAACTTAGGCATTGGAAACGAGTATGAACAGATTTCTAACAAACCCAAAACCCACACAACAACTCTTGCATTCAATCAAATATAAATGTCTTTAATATTTCTTCCCCTTCTTCTTCATATCCGCAATCGCGTCCGGGTGCTGAGGAAGCAGATGTCTATACCGACAGATCTTCATGTTCTCTGTCAGGCTGCAAACGCCCCGATTCAAAAACTCAAAGCAGATCGGCGCCTCGTGCGGTGCAAACGGGTTGACCTCGAACTCGTCGCACTCCCTCAGCTGCCACTGCTCGATCTCCTTCTGCGACAAATACCCGCTTCGAAACCGATCTGCGATCGCATCGGGGTGGTTCGGCACCAAATGGCGGTACCGACACACGCGCCCCTCCTCCATCCGCTTGCACCTGCGCCTCACTCCCTTCCCTCGTTCTCTACCGCCCTGTATTCATGTATTCAAAGCAGAGCTTGTCTCCGCTCCGCGCGTTCGGGTTGTTCTCCCCCGGCGGCAGCTTCCCTACATCGCGAATCCTCCACGGACGCTACGGCGATTCGACGGCTCCGCCGGACGCTTCGCGTGCGGAGGACTGGGCTCGGAGAGCGACTCGGAGGCAGGGTCCGGAAGGAGCATCTGGTCGAGAAAGAGGTCGATTTGAGGGTTCACGGAGTAGGTGGGAAGCTCGGGCGCGCGGGGATGGCTGGACACGCGGAAGCGCTCGGTGGGAGGCTGGACGTAGGGGGCCGGAGGGAGACGCGAATAGTCCGGGTAAGAAACGTCGTAAACGCTTTGGGGATTCTGCGGGAGAGAATGGAACATTCGACGACTCGAGCGGTTCTTGAAGGGTGTACCGAGGGGGGGTTCAAAGAGAGGGTCGTAGGGGGTTTCAAATGGAGGGTCATATGGAGTTTCATATGGAGGGCTAGGAACATGGGAATGGTGGTCTGCGTGGAATGAGCGGCGAGATTCCAATGGGAGAGGATAATATGATGCCGATTGAGGCAATTTCCGTAGATTGGGAGGTCGAATCATTCCAGCACTAGAGGGAGATGACACAGCAATGTCGTCAGAATTTAGAGACTTGGGAGACCAATGCGACAGCACATCTTGAGAGGCACCATCCAACGAGGGAGGCCTGCTAGAGACCGAAACAACTAAATGTCAGTTTTGGTGGGTGGTTCTACATTGGTCGTCAGGGCCTGAGAAATGCGCATCAGCAGAAATACCTAGGTTTGACATGAAGGCTGCAAATTACTGTGCTCCTTCGAAACAGCAGTTAGATGGCTAGGGTTTGCATAAAATGCATCGCCCGCGACAAAGTAATCTATTTCGGGATTACTAACATCCTTGAACTTGGGCTCGAAAAAATCTTCAGCAATATCCAAACTGCTTGTAGATGACATCGTTTCGATGTTTTTACAATACAATGATTTGAAATACAGTTACAATGAGGAATACTAATGGTATAACTGATAACACGAATTGTACCTGGCTAAAATTTCCTATCAGTATGGAGGGGTGTCGATTTGAATTAAAATACTTTAAAAAACAAGACTCACAAACACACCAATTTATCTTTCTGTTTGTGATCCAAAAGAATTCTTCCACGCACAGTAACCACTATTCTATGATTATGATGAAGCAAAACAAACGATTAATTGGATGAACGAAATTATTAAATAGTTTTAACTCTTTAAATTGGAACAAAAACGTTTTTCTTTTGGATGGTAATCGGTGCACAAGCTGCAACGATCACGATAATTCCATCATTGTAATTATCTCGATCATTTTCAGCATATGTTGCATAGCCACCCATCTGAATATGCAATTCCCTCCAAATGATCATATACAAACCGAGTTTGAGTAATGCCCCATATGGAATTGTGTGTTGCAATAAAGCATTAAAAGATACAAAAACACTTAGAAAATGAATTCGAGTCCGAGTCCCAGCTTGTGGTTTCCTCCTTCCAGATGGGCTGCGTCCACTTCCGCGCTCGCCAGCAGGCTCAGTTTTTTGTTCACCGTCGCCTTCACCGCGCCGCTCACCACGCCGCTTTCGCTCACTTTCCCGCGGATCTCCGTCGCATCGTTCAGACTCGACACCACGCCCACCGCCCCGCGGGGCATCGAGCGCATCGAGCGCACCTCCCACACCGCGCCCACGCGCGTCGACGCGCCCGTCTTCGCCCACACGCCCACAGTTCCCTTCTTCCCCGCGGAACTCCACACTCCCGCCATTTCGTACCATTCCCCGCGGAACGAACCACCGCACTCCACGCTCACGCCCGTCTCCGCGCTCTGCACCTTCGCTCCCACCAGCGCGCGCGCACCCGCGCTCACAACCGCGCTGCAGCTCGCGCGACCCGAACACGCGTCCACGCTGCAATCCAAAGCGCCGCGCTCACCACACACCTTCACGCCCAACAAACCCTTCTCTATACCGCTATCGCTCATGCGCTTCGAACTCCTGAACATCAACACAACACACAACAACACACCGAAGCGTAAACGTCGTGTTACGAACCAAATCAGTCACGTCCGCATCGAACACCAACGAACCCGCACTGTCCAAAGAAACCTTCTTCACTGTGAAGTGCTTGCAAGGACTGAAATCACCAGAAATCTTGCTCACCACCGGCTTCCCACCGCTGCTCTTTCCCTCAGCAGTCAAGTTCTAAACAAATCACTTCACCACACCCTAAAAACCAACAACTCCCTGAAGATGCTTCACCTTCATCACCAGCTTCGATCCAGTGAAATAATCGTCGTTCAGAATATCTGGAGATCACAACGACTACCAACGACCCCTACCCTTCGACTTCTTGTACAAATCATCAAAATAAACGGGCTTCGACATGGTAGTGGACTCAAATATAAGTATGGATAAGAAATCTTCTCTGACGTCATTAGTCCCTATTGTTGATAAATAGAGTACATAATGAGTGAAGCGACCTTATTTATTATAAAAGAGAATCTTTAGTGTATCATAAAAACAAAGAGTGCATTTACTTTAACAGAAATGAGTGGATCACACGGGCATCATTTTTCCTCAAAAGATCATTGACCTTCATTTTCGAGTTATCACTATTACCTAGGCTATTATCACGCAGAAATAGGGATACTATTTTGCAACCCATCTCGAATCGCTTTAAGAACTTGCTGAGCCTTATTATTCACTGTAGATCCAGAAATCCTATACGTCTTTGTAGAATCCTGTACAGAGTCTTGGAGCGAGGCTAATACTACATACTCCACAATAGCATTAATGTATAACTACAAAGAAAAAAGAGTAGATTCAGTACACGAATTCGTGATGATGAGGATCGATTAACTCTTACAGTAGATGATTTGGAACTTACATAGTTTTGTATCTCCTTCTGTGAATTAAAATTGAAATCAGGAGCCAACATCCAACACAATGTTTAGGAGAGTCGAAAGAGACACCGCCTTGAAGCGTCTTTCTTTACGGTAGTAGGACAAAAGAGGGTGAGCGGACAGTTCAACCTAGTTTTCAAAAAAGTGAACAATCTATGTAGGAGAGTGACATGGGAAAGGAATTAGAATAAGAGTAGTAAGAATATCAACAAAAACTAAAACTCATATTGACAACAAACAAACCAAGTATACAAATAACACTAGAACACTTCCCCATGGAACTTCCCGTTCATAAAGCTCACAAGCTTGTTGTATGCTGACGCACCTAAGTAGTACAAAATCTCCAAACCTACTGTAATCTCCAGTAAATCCCATAGAATACTGGGCATTAATGGACCCATTTGGATTTACAACACCAATGAATTCAACTACTTTACTACCCATCAACATTGACAACAGACCCTTACTCCTTCTCGAATGAAAAGCCATTCGGTGAATATACAGAGACCTTCTTATTATCCTACAAAATAAGAGAGATTAGGCGACTTTCACAGATGTGGTTATAATAGCGGTGCTTCCAGCAACAGTATCAATCTTTCCAACAATTGAGACAGTTAGACCGACAAATCGGTTCAGCATCTCACCATTTACACGTGTGAAGTTAGCATTCTATCATTAATATCACCATACATATTTACAAAAGGAGCAGGATTTGAGAACTGGTTATCCATTCTTATTTGATACAAAAGGCAATTTTAAGTTTCCCGCCAAAGGAGTTTCTTTTTCTGGCAACCCAAAAGTAAAGAATAAAACAAACAAGTTATTTGCCATGTTTTCGATGTTTGGTTTTTTCTTTTTTCTTTATTTCGTTTTCCCATTCCACTCGATATTTTTTGTACAAAAGAAGAGTAGCACGAGCATCATCGATAGAATCGTGCTCTCCTTCCTGAATAGCCGTACCAAACTCCCTCTTTAACAGGTACTGCAGCTTGTGAGGCAGCCACTTGTTCTATCCATGAAGAGAATCATAAAAATCGAACTTTCCATTTACGCATAAAAGGACGGTAGTAGGCAGTGTCTCGAATCAGTCTTCGCGGGTGGTGCATCATCAACGCTTCGAAATCGTTACTGATCGAGTGTCCAACTACAATTCGGTTCTTCATCAAACGATCGGCCACATCTTGTGCCTACGGAACACACAAAAACCAAAAGTACCTCTCTCAGAGTAACTACTCTATCTCCCTCCAAATCCTCAGGGCGAATACCAGACCACTGAGTACGGTAATCAGTCACAGCGGATGGAGGCTTCACAAACGAATCATATAAAATCTGGAAAATCGTTATTCACCCACAATCACATACAGCCCCATAATAATTAACAATCGAAATGCGAGCCAGAGCAGATTCATTGTTGGGCCCTACTCCCACCATTTCGCAATCAATAGCGACCACTGGAGTATCTGATGCAGTGCCTGAACCATCAGGATTAAGTAATGCCTCCAGATTTACCAGTGTTTTGGGAGAAACAGACTTTTCGGGGTTTTCTTCACGCAAACGTCTTAGTATCACAGAGTTACACCAGTATTACCTTCGTTTTGCCTCAGCAGGGTTTCGCAAAATCAATTTCTTCATACTTTCCCAATTCGAGCCGATTTTTGCTTTCTTGGGATGAGCTTCCTTTGTTGCTGTCTTCTCCTTCGTTTCCTTCTTCACCATCAACAAAATTATGGACAATGTGGTTTTTCCACATATCTTGAATAAAATACTTTAAACAGTAAAGTTACATACCCATAATAATATATTGTTTGTAACTTGGGTCATTAGAAATACTTCTTCTCCTTCCCCTTCCTTATTTTCTTATCATTCTTATTTTATATTCTTGTATAGAACAAGTACATATGTCCTGAGTTCCACTTTCCAAGTCCTTTTCACTCATTCTCCTTATTATTATACCCTCATACATTTACTAATTCAAATTTAATACATTTCTATATTCATCCACATTATTTGTTTTACTCATGCAAGTCCCCGTTTTAGTTTTAAGTAGCTTTTGCAATATTACTCCACATACTTTCTAGATCAGAATACGAAACGTGAAAGTGGACGAAAGGTACAGTTGGGAAACATTCAAGCTGCCAAGGTAGGCGATGCGTTATTGAAGTAAACTCATTATTAGGCAGTTGCTGATATTATCCGAACCACACTTGGACCTCGTTCCATGCTCAAGATGCTTCTAGACCCCATGGGAGGCATTCTTTTAACAAACGATGGCAACAGCATTCTACGGGAAGTCGATGTGTCTCATCCTGCTGCAAAGAGTATGATTGAGTTAAGTCGAACCCAGGACGAGGAGGTTGGCGATGGAACGACATCTGTGATCATATTGGGTATGATTGGCGGCAGTATGCGATGGGTGTAGCGGGTGAGATGCTGGTTTCTGCGGAGCCGTTTATTTCTGGGAACATTCATCCCACCGTGATCGTTCGCGCATACTACAAGGCGTTGGAATCCGCCCTCCACATCTGCGAAGAGATCGCGACCCCCATCGACATCCAGGACCGTTCGATGATGATGAAGCTTCTGGACAGCGCGATCGGGACGAAGTTCAGCAGTCGGTTCGGCGATTTGATCGTAGCTTGTGGTGGATGGCGGTGATTGCGTTAGAGCGGACTGGCGCTGGACAGCGTGCTGACGGTTCTGGACGAGAAGACGAACGAGATCGATCTGAAGCGGTACGTGCGCGTGGAGAAGATTCCCGGCGGGGAGCTGAGCGAGAGCCGCGTGATTCGCGGCGTGATGCTGAACAAGGACGTGACGCACGCGTCGATGCGTCGCAAAATCGAGCATCCGCGCATCGTTCTGCTGGACTGCTCGCTGGAATACGTGAAGGCGGAATCGGTGGCGAGTCTGGAGATCCACGAAGCGGATGCGTGGGACCGCGCTCTGAAACAAGAAGAAGAAGCCGTGAAGGAGATGTGCGACGCGATTCTGTCGCTCAAGCCCGATTTGGTGATCACGGAGAAGGGCATTTCCGACCTGGCGCAGCATTACCTGCAGAAGGCGAACGTCTCGGCGCTGCGGCGCGTGCGGAAGAGCGACAACAACCGTCTGGCGCGCGCGACGGGCGCGACGATCGTGCATCGTCCCGACGAACTGACGGAGAGCGACGTGGGAACGCGCTGCGGGCTCTTCGAGGTGCGTCAGATCGGCGATGAGTACTTCGCGTTCATCGAGGACTGCGAGGCGCCGAAGGCCTGCTCCGTGCTGCTGCGCGGCGGCTCGCGCGACGCGCTCAACGAAATCGAGCGGAATCTGCAGGACGCGATGCAGGTGGCGCGCAATGTGGCGCAGGACCCGCGGTTATTGCCCGGCGGCGGTGCGACGGAGATGGAGATCGCGTGCAGACTGCAGGCGGAGGCGAAGCGCGAGGGCGGCGTGGACGCGCTGCCGCTGAGCGCGGTGGGCCAGGCGATGGAAATCATCCCGCGCACGCTGTGCCAGAACTGCGGAGCGGATACGATCCGAGTGATCACGAAGCTGCGAGTAGGAGAGAGGAGAGCGGACGACGCGTAGGCGGAGCATTGCAAGGCGGAGGGAGAAGGAACGTTCCTGGGAGTGGACGGAGTGAAGGGAACCATCGCGGATATGCGCGAGTTGGGAGTGTGGGACACGTTCCAGGTCAAGACCCAGACCATCAAAACCGCCATCGAATCGGCATGCATGCTGCTGCGGATTGATGATATTGTGTCGGGAATGCAGAACGGAAAGTGAAAATGGAATGAAAAGAAATGAAAAAGGTTGAATTTGGGTAAAGAATTGGACGTTTTTGTAATGTTTGTTTGAAAGTGATTCGAATGGAGGTGAATTTTTGTAGCTGATCCATTCTTCTATACTTATAGCTTCTTCCGATTCTTTAGTGATTGTTTCACCACTATTAATATTGCCTCTTATATTTATTTATTTATTTGCTTGTTTGCTTGTTTGCTTTCTCTCATTATTTGATCTAAGAAGGATTGTATCGAACACGCATAGAATATGGACAAACAATGACTGTGATTCCAAACAATTCATAAATCACAAGCAGAATGAATGTCCGTTTTGTATTTTTGTGTAGATTAGAGCAACAGAATGATCTGTGTTCATTGTACATCAATATCAGACACCATCGAAGTGATTGACACTCATTTAGGTCCGATTTGATATCTCGATTACTCTCTCAAAGTCACTGATATTAGGAATATGTATGTATGTATAGAGTGATAGATAGATAGATAGATTAGAATATATCCAAATTCCAATACTCTATTGCTATAATTATAGACTTCTGGTACTAAGGGCAAAGAATAATATATCTTTCACTATTCGTACCATCCTGTAATGTGCTCTCATTCTAGAAAATCGAGAAATCTGACACAACTTGAAGATACTTGGTCAAAATCATCGATCATTGCGAATCTTCATATTATCTCACAAATGAATATTATGCAATATACCTCAAACGATCATACTGAATCATTATTGTTCACATCAAAAGGATATTCAAATGTTGCTTATGTCGTGATTCTGTAGACATGATTCATAGGAGTCAATAATGATACAGAATAACTTCTATTTGTAGTTGTTTGAGTTAATTCTCTTGAAAAGAGATTGGATCTTTATTTGATTGTCTTCAGTCTCAACAGACAGACAGAGTATCTTTCAAACTACATAATTCCTTCTTACAAAGCAAAAGCGGATGATTCAATATATACAGCTCATTCCTAGTTTGGTAAGGAAAATACAATTCCTTTTAGTTTTAGTTAGTTTACAAACAAACAATCAATCAATCAATATCACATCACATCACGTCACATCACGTCACGTCACTTAGTTCACGCAAATCTGTTTCTTCTGGGCGCTTTCTTCCTTTTTGGGAATCACTACCTTCAGAACTCCATTTTCATACATCGCGTTTATTCCATCCACATTCGCATTCTTCGGCAGAGATACTTCACGATGGAAAGAACCGAAGTGGCGCTCACAGAAATGGCACTTGTCCTTCTCTTCCTTCTTCTCACTCTTTCTCTCTCCTTCAATCACAAGTCCATTGTCTTCCACATGCATCTTGATTTCACTCTTGTCCATTCCAGGCAGATCCACACTCATTTCATACTCCTTCTCGTTCTCCTTCATGTCCATTCGGCCAAATCCACTGAACGGAGTAATCACATCACGACGGATTCCATCACCGAACCAAGAATCCAAGTCATGCTGCTTGGGGAAGGTCGAAACCAGCAGATCATCAAAGTTATCAAAGAAAGGATCACGGAATATAATGCTCATTATCACTATCACTCACTTAGGTAAATCTATCAAATAAATAAATTATGACAAAGAACGAAACGATTCCAAAAAGATCCAGAGTTCTATCGAACATTCTGGAATAAATAGGAAAGCTAAAGATGTGTCGATTTTGTGAATGTATGAAATATGGGGAATCATTTGGAATATGTATGAGTAGTCTAGGCCAACAAACAATTGATCACGATAATCGCAACTTCTTTAGATATTTGCACAAATACGTGTAAATGGGTATTACGAACATATCTGTAAAGGTAATAATCCTCAAAAAACGATGACTTCCAGTTCCAGTCTTACTTTGGCTCGAATACTATTTAACGTTAAAGAACTATTCTTGTTCTATCCATTTGGAATATCAAGAATCATGAAACTGAATGTGTTTGAACACTTTTGTTTCTTCAATCAATTCGCTTTTTTATATGCATTAACTCTTCTTCGTAGAGAAAATATATTCGATAGACCTTTAACCACTCTTTTTTCTCATGCGTATTTTGTTCGTAATTATGCATGATATAAACGATAATTTACGTGTATTGCCACACTTCTACATCGATTCGGTATTTTCCATACAAGAGTTGAACACTTTCCGTTTTTTGAGCATGGCAACTCAGAATCATACTGATTCTAGCTCTACTATCATGTAACAAGAAAAGATTCCAAACAAACACTCCTTCCATTCTTTTCCTATACAAAGCGGTGTTTTCAAACTTACTAACAAAAAGCCGACCGAATTACGCTTCTCTATCATACTATACCACAACGCTTTCCTATACCCTATCTCCCCTTTCTCTCAACACCCACTCGCACTCTTCTATGTTCAACTCGCACTTCTCTATGTTCAACTCGCAATTCTCCATTCCCGCCTTCCCAAATCTCCACTCCGTTTGAATCGGTATCAACCACATCGGGAACTCCCTCACAATGAATGTTACGTTCTCTTCTTCATTCTTCATCGAATCAATCGTGTTTCCCTTCTCTCCTACACGTACTGTATACCAACATTCCCTCCACATACAGTACCTACGCCTTCACTTCGATATTCTAGCACTAGCCGTTTCAATCCCTCATACTCAAATCCACACTTTTGTTAGATAACGAGATAATTAGCTATCGATAGCTTTTTGGCTTCGAGCCATTTTAGTACGAGTCCTTTGTTTTGCTTTAGCATGCATAAATGAAATGGAGCAACGCAGTAATCGAGAATGGTATAATGATATGGCTGAGAACCTATACCAAGATACTATTTATGTGAATAGAAAGAATAGATTGCATATTCTACATATTATTTAAACAATTATTCGGATTGATCTATTACAAACATACCATCCCAACAACATTCGATTTCTAGGATTACCAAATACCACAGTGAGACACAC